TCCCCCCCCCCCCCCCCCCCCCCTCCTAGCGCAGGGCAAGTACTGACAGTGCGGCAGGGTACGCCACAGTGGGAGGAAAGAGGTTCCTTGATTTTCTGAGAGAGAGCTGGGTGGAACCAGGGTTTGACGGTGTCCATTCGCGAGCGTTGGGCAGGACGGTGTATTTTATGTCGAGTTTGAATACGCCTGGGGATACGTTGAGGTTCATAGAGAGGGCATTGGAGAAGACGCTGGGCGCTTGGGGACCAGTGGTAAATGGTGAAACTAGAGAAGAGGTAGAATAATCGTAGATGCACTCTCTAGAGGTCGGCTTGGTCTCTAGGAAGATAAATGTGGATAAATCATTGATCATGACCTGTCATAAAACACAACAACGTATACAGTTGGACCCGGACTACAGGAGAGCACTCAAAAAGGGGATGACAAGAACGAGGCGAAGGAGGAAGAGGAAGAGAACAAGGAAGAGGAAAAGACTGAGAAAAATACTCGCAAGAGAGAGAGAGAGAGAGAGAAAGCGAGTTTGACATCGTATTGTCTATGCAGTGTTGCCGGCCCTGTACCCCAACAACCCTTGACCATTGACTGCTGACTATCGACTGCGTGTGCTAGCGACGCATAGGACCTGATGAGACCCATACGCCAATGACAGAGCTTATGAAACATATCACTGCCATATCCTTATTAGCACTGCCATACCTGGCAAGGGACTCGGAAGGACATACGAAGCAGCACTCCAAGTTCCCGACTGCGGGGATTCCGTTTCCTCAAGCTCTCGTGCACGTCGGGCAAAGGCACCGGGTTCCTCTGCTTCGGCGGTCTCTGAGCGCGTGAGACCCGGATCGCTTCCCTATAACACTGTACCATCGCTTCCATCGCGTCGGGCCATGTGCGGCCCCTGACTCCCTCTGTAGAAGCGCGGCGGGCCATCTCTTCCCTTTTCCTTGGGGAAGTGACGAGCTGCTTTAGGAGGGAGGCGTACGTCGTTACGGATTGGGTGAAAGCGACGGATGTGGGAGGAGTGAGTAGGGTGCGCCATTCTGGTGCTGGCTGCGGCTCGCCGGACACCAGAGAAGGGGATTGGGTTGGCATAGGCAGGAGGAGCCCGGTACGCTCGTGTACCACCAGATCGCGCGTGCCTTCGGCGTCTAGCCCCACTACTGGGAGGCCAGAAGCGAGCGCTTCGAGCACTACCTGACCGAAGGTTTCCGTAAATGACGGGAACCTAGATAGGTGCGTCATGCGTCAGACCCCATCAGACAGCAGAAGACAGAAGCCGAACAACGTACGCGAAGATATCCGCACTGGCATAGCATTCCGCTAGCCTGACACCGGTGATATGCCCCATGAAGACCGCGTCGATGCCGAGGCGCTTACATTCCTCTTCGAGCGGCTGGCGCGCCGGTCCATCGCCGACAAGGATGAGGATGGGCTTTGCGTCCTGAGCCGAGAGGGACTCGAGCATGAGACCGAAAGAACGGACCAGAAGCAGGAGGTTCTTCTCCCACGAACTGGGGTTGATCAGTATCAGCCGGAAGGCGGTGTATGCGCATGAACGTACACTCTGCCAACGTACAGCACCACAGGGGTATCAGTGCGCTTAGGCGGGAGAGAGCCAACGGGGAGCAGATCCGGAGATGGAGGGGGAGTGAGCATCGCTGCTGCCGGATCGAGGTGCGCAAGTGGGCTAGCGCTCTGAGTCTTCTTAGGTGATGGCTGGACGCCCCATCTCTCACGAAGCTTCTCAGACCGGCGGTACGGGTTGAACAGTTGTTGGTCGACACCGCGCTGCCACAAACGGACGTTCTTGAATCCCTGCCCTTCGAGCATCGTAGCGGTGGACGGGGACGGGCAGGCAGTAAGAAGCGTCTTTGCGTGTAGCCAGCGGGTGAACTTCCACATGATCGGTTCGAGCCAGGCGATACCGAAGAGGGTCGCGTATGTCGGGAGATTGGTATGATAGCTCGCGACGACTGGTGCGCCGCCTAGCCCCGTGCCGAGGCTGGCGAGACCCGCATCCTCGCCGGACCAGTCGCTCCCACACCAGCCAACTTCCATAGCCATAAGCACCTGGGCACCGAGCCAGATCGGGTCTACAAAATGTACGACGTCGGGGTTCTGTTCGGCACATGTCAGCCAGGTACAGACGAACGTGCGAGGAAGGCAAGCGCACTATCTTGGATATGGTGCTGAGGAAGAAAGGGCGCAGGAAGTTGAGCTTGAGTCCAGGGTAGACAACGAGGGGTATCCCGGCGGTGCCGATGAGCGGGTGCGTCTCGTAATGTGACTTTAGGACCAAGGCACACACGGAAAGTGGTCAGACAGATCGGGGCAGAACGAGCATTGACAGCGCACCATGCCGCTTTTGGGACCGAGGACGACAGCCTCGTGTCCCTGCTCTTTGAGATGTGCGAGTAGCCTCGCCAGCGTCCGAGTAACACCGTCCACCTGGTGAGAAGACGTGAATGGACCGATCAGGGCGTGGGAAGGGAAGGAGGAGGAGGCATACCTTTGGCATCAAGTTCTCTGTACCAGCGCATGGTCTAATCAGCTCACTGTGCGCTACTGAAGAGAAGAGAGAAAGAGAACGCACCGGTGACGATTGCTATCCTTAGTTTCCCATTGGCGAGCCTGTCTGCCTCTGCCTGCTCGTAGGCGAGTTGTCGCTGCCTTCGTACTTCTCGCTCGGCGTTGTCGAAGTGTTCTGGGTCGAACACTGTTGGTGATGATGGCATGGGTGAATCCTCTTGAGTGTGGATGTGGTGGATGTGGATGTGGGATGGTGGAGAGAAGGGGGAAGTCGTGAGGGGGGATAAGGGAGAAGAGAGGAGGAGGAGAGGCAATAGAGGGGGAAGAGGATGCTATGCGGGTACTTGAGGATGTTGAAAGCGTCTAAGCCTCGTGGTTATTGTCAGTGCTTCTGATCGTTTCTCCTCTATTCAAATTAGGACAAATCGGAACAACCGGGAGGTCCGTGCACTTTATTACGCAGAGGGTCTCCTTTACCACACTGCACCGCTCCGAATCGGCTGCTTTAATAAATCGCGCGTTACGTTGGGGATCCCCAGGTGGCGTCCCCAAAACTTGACCAATAGCGTGTCACCGCTACTGCATGCGTACATTTAAGGGTCGAACGTGTCCATTCGCGCACAAGGAGAGCGCCTATCTCAAACAAACAGCCACTTATCCGCCCATCGCACGTTGGCAATTTCAACATCTGACAACCAACCGAACCTCTCCTGTTCATTGTTATTGATCGCCAAGTACTCGGCGAGCACGTCTCGTGTGCTATGTATCCCATTCCTTCAACACCAACTGTACAGTATCACAACCACCACCCTATGCTTATCAAAAGACGCACTCCTAGATCATCAAACTTTGTGCACTGCATCGCGCCCTCACAGCCCAGGCGACCACACATTCCTACGCTCGTGAACATCCAACGCGCCCGCCTCCCCTTTCTCCCACAACACCCGCAGCCGGCTCATAAAGTCGTCTTTTCCCATATACGCCCCACACAGCTGTCTGCGCCCGGTAAACTCTGCACGCCCGTGCATCACTCGCTGGTTATCGATCACCACTACTGTGCGCGGCTGTAGCTTGACCCAGTACTCGGCTGACGGCTCCGTCAGGCAGCGATTCCAGTCCCGTATGGCTTGGTACCTGTGGCACTGTCAGAAGCAGGTCTGGACTCGGGGATGACTCATAGGCCACTGACCACGCTTCCATCAGATCAGGATGCACGGCATTCACCACGCTCCTGTCATTGTTATTCCAGCGCACATGCCACACTTCCCCGGTGGAGGCATCAACTGATAGTACCGGATACCCAGAGTTCGGGTCCGGCCTGTAGAATGTGTCCTCGTCCCCGGCGGCATGACACGGTATCGGCACTTGGGACAGAAGCTCGAAACTTCGCGGATAACGACGCCGCACTTCGCGAGCAACATGCAGCCCATCGACGAGCAGCGTTTCACCACCAGTGCCCCCAGTATGCTCTAGAAGATGAAATATTTGTAGTCCGGCTGGATCGGTCTACTCATCTGTCAGTGGAATAATCATGATGCAGATATAGACGCGCTGACAAAGTAGGTGTTGTCGGTGTGAGCAGGTAAAGCAATGTTTGTGTAAGCCGTGTCCCCGTGTGCAAGATCAGAAGTAAAACTCCACATTTTCCCATCTGTGGAAGTCATTAACGCTAGAACCTCGGAATCGCCGAGAAGACCGGCAACGTACACTGTGTTTCTCTGATGAACGAGATCCGGCGCGCAAGCGCTTCGGTCGAGTTGAGGTCCGCGGGAACACCTCGCACGAAGCAAACACCCCACTTTTTCTGCAGTGATCGTCAGCGCCAGCCGGGGGAAAACACGGAGAAACCTACGATCTTGGCCAACCAGTCATACAGCGCGTCGTCATTCTCCATCACATCGTAATACTCTACAGTCGGGGTACGGGTCCTGATCGTGCGGTTATCCCATATGATGGGCCTGATTCAAGTTTAGCCCACGGCATAGGGGACGTGCCGGCAACCTACTTTTGCCAGTCCGGCTTCGGGGCGAATTGTTGCGGGTCGTAAGAATTATTCTTGAGCCAAGACCAGGGGTATAGGGATGTGTGTTCATGCGGAGAGGCCCCTACCATCGGATCAAATCGGTGAGTTACCAGGGGCACGGGGGCACCGGAGCTTACATTGAATGACGAGCCCCTCCCCTGTCGCATCCACGGCGCGGGGTTGGATGTCGGCCGGGATCTGTACATAGGATCAGAACTCCACTAACACGCGCGCGGAGTTTGATTTTGCCCTCCGATAAACTTACGGAGAAGGTATCGAGCATCCGCTGTTTTGTTATTGGGTGGAAACACTCGGAACAGCGACAGTGGTCACGTAGCCAGATGTGATGGCTGGAAAGGACGGTAAGTTGGGATGAACGATATGCCAGAGGAAGGGAACTTACAACCGGCTTTGCAGGTCGGACGACCATTGCACTGCGACCCGCCTCCCGTCCACTTCTGTGAGCGGTAGCTCGGGCTCGGGCTCCTGGGCAGGTATAGGCTTGCGGAGGGCCAGAGCAGCAGCAGCACCTTGGAAAGGCTTTGTCGCGATGTACGCTCGCCGACCGAGGTAGGCCTGGTGACGAGCTGCAGGACGGACGACGGTGGACAGGGAGCTACCCCACATCTCCAATGAAGGCAAGTGACGAATAGGGGATATGGTAAAGCGCCTGCTATATGAGCTAGTGACGGAAGCTAAGGCCGGACGCATAGTGAGACAGTGGGACGGGGTAGAGCACCGTGTTGTTGCGGGAGGTGGGGGAAATATCCTGAGACTGCCATCGGTCCAGAGGCCGTTTAAATCCAATCCAGAATGACCAGGCTGTCGTGCAGGGTCGCCGGCAGGGTGGAAGGGAACGGAGCATAGCTTCCCATCGGAGACCGGACATGGCGTGTGACATCATGGTATGATTGTGTTTGCTTGCACACTATAGCAGGGTAAGGGGGGGATGTACAAAGGAGAGTTCGGAACGGCCGGGGGAAAGAAGGGAGGCACGAGATGTGTATAGGGAGAGGGGAATGGATGGGAGTGGTCGAGAGTGCATGATTGTGACAGCACAGAATGTAGATATGTTTTCCAATAAGGGATGAATTGCAGGATAGTAGGATGAATGCATATTCCAAGTCCGCTTCTGCTTCGAAACTCAGCCCAAAGGAAGGAAGAGAGAAGTAAGGTCGGGTTCTCCACCTCCAACGCAATGTCCATGCCTGTCATCCTCCTTAACTGAATTATTTATTGACTGCCAGCGACTGCTCCCGCGGCCGTCTAGCCCTCGTCTTCCTTGTTATTCTTTTTGGGTCTCAATGGGTCTCGTATGTCCGAACGTCGGCTTTTTCGGAGGGTCTGACCAAAAAGTGGCGTGCGGACGGGTGAAATCTCCCCGTTGTGAATTTTTGGTCTTGGACGCGACCGCACGGCACTTAGGGACCGAAGTATCATCCCAAACCTGACTCGTTCCCCTCGACTCCAATCTCTCGTCCTTACCACCACCATGTCCCTTCCTGCCCGCTCTGCTCGTGTCGCTGTACGCGCAGCATCTCGCTCTGCTGCAACCAAAAATATTGTCAAGGCGAGGGCCTTTTCCGTCTTGACCCGCTCACCCGCGGCGGCAAAACGCCAGCCTGTCCACATCGTATGTCCCCAGTCTCGTGATTCCTAAATCTGGACCATTCTGTTCAACATGATTACTCTTGCTCTTGTTCCAGCTCTCGCGTGGTATCAAGACCCTGGACTTTGCTGGAACTAAGGAGGTCGTCTACGAGCGCGCCGACTGGCCCCTGCCCAAGCTCCAGGAATATTTCAAGAACGATACCCTTGCCCTCATTGGGTATGGCTCCCAAGGCCATGGTCAGGGACTCAATGCCCGCGACAATGGATTGAATGTCATCGTCGGCGTGAGGAAGGATGGAGAGAGCTGGAAACAGGCAATCGAGGACGGCTGGGTACGTGGGCGGTTTTCCTTGAAAGGCATTTGTTCACTCGAAGGTACCCGGTATTCAGGTTCCTGGAGAGACCCTCTTCCCGATCGAAGAGGCCATCAACAAGGGAACAATCATCATGAACCTTCTCTCAGATGCTGCCCAGTCCCAGACATGGCCAGAACTTGCCCCCCTGATCACCAAGGGAAAGACCCTCTACTTCTCTCACGGGTTCTCGGTGGTGTACAAGGACCTCACCCACGTTGTGCCCCCGGCCGATGTTGATGTTATCCTCGTGGCCCCCAAGGGCTCTGGAAGGACCGTCCGCACCCTCTTCAAGGAAGGCCGCGGCATCAACTCGTCCATCGCCGTCTTCCAGGACGTGACTGGCAAGGCCAAGGAGAAGGCGATCGCCCTCGGCATCGCCGTCGGTTCCGGCTATCTCTACGAGACCACCTTCGAGAAGGAGGTATATTCTGATCTGTACGGCGAGCGTGGTGTTCTCATGGGTGGTATCCGTAAGTAGCACATTCATACGTAAAAGTTACACCGGTGCCTAATTCTACCGTAGAGGGTATGTTCCTTGCCCAGTACAAGGTTCTTCGGGAGAACGGCCACTCCCCCTCGGAAGCCTTCAACGAGACCGTTGAGGAGGCTACCCAGTCTCTCTTCCCTCTGATCGGCGAGAAGGGGTGCGTGTGAAATTTTGTCAAATTTGTTTTATGGCTGATGTCTCGCCTAGCATGGACTACATGTACAACGCCTGCTCCACCACTGCGCGTCGTGGTGCTCTTGACTGGGCCCCCATCTTCGAGGCTGCCAACCGCCCGGTCTTCGAGAAGCTCTACGAGTCAGTGAAGAACGGCACGGAGACCAAGAAGTCGCTCGAGTTCAACGGCCGCAAGACGTATCGCCAGGACCTGGCGAAGGAACTGAAGGAGATTGACGACCAGGAGATCTGGCGTGCCGGTAAGACCGTCCGCAGCCTGCGCCCTGATGCCAAATAGATCCATTCTGCGGCATAAAATTTGCGTTTCGCAATATATTCGTGGCATGTTATGATCGATTTATTCTTGGTTGCATGTGCATACACACTACTGCTGTCGTCCGTAGTCCCAATTACAGCCTCATGACAGCGAGAACCTCTTTGCATCAAGGGTCACCCGATATTCAACCAAGCCAAATTGAAGAGAGATACAGACCCTGTCATTTCGGCATGATGTCAGGGTTACGCGGCTTGGAAACTGATTGGTGCCCTGAGGCAATACAGCTGATTGAAGTGCAGGCTCAGGCGCAGAATCCTCCACCTAGTGTGTTCGAACCTCCCCTTGAGAAGCTCTCTTCGCGTCTGGCGGATGGCTATTACGTTTCACGGTCAGCAGTTGCATGATTCTCCCGATTACCGCCGTACTGATCCACCAGCGACCAACAAACGAAGACGGTCGACAGCCTGATACCACGAGAATGGTGAACAGGGAATGCGCCACACCTGAAACGATGGAAATTCCGTTGGGATTGGGATACTGACCGGAACCATGAGGGTCCAATATGATCTACGATCTCTTTTGGATCTCTAGTCACAAAATTCGGCAGTCCAGGCTCCGAATCCGTAATTCCCTGATCCACGGAACGAAGCAGGAACATGGGTGACACATCGCGGAGTGAAAAGCAAATAAGGCAACATCATGGCCTTAACTGCGGGAACCCCCGCGGAGGTGCTACAGAAAACACCAGTTCTGCCCTATCAAAGGACTTAGAAGCAGGGAAACACAAGACCAGACGAAGGGAGTCTTTGTATTAAGAAGCCAAATTCCCTTTTAGACTGCTCCTCCATCTTCCAAGCTCTCACATTCCGCTTATGCATCCGCGGTTCAGGGCTGGACACGCAGTTGAGGGGAGGATGGGAACAAGGATCTCCAATGAAACCGGACGAATGTGCGATGTGGCTGTATGATGGAGGAACAGTTGTCCAATGAAGCCCACAGTGTGGGGATGATCATGTTGCCGGCCTCTTGAAGCGGTAAGCGGAGCACCAAGGAGCAGACAACCAGCGGGAGAACCACTGCGTGCTAAGATGTCCAATTTGGTCTATGGAGACTGTCAAGCGGACAGAAAAGACGGTACCACGGGAAGGTGAATAGTGGAAGCAATGATATGATTATACATTAACCGCATCCCAGGCAAGTGGACCGGGAAAGCACCGTTGAGACGCGAGCTCGACCGATATATCCCACGGAGCCAGAAAGATCGCTAATACCCTTTCCTAGGGCCCCCTTTGCCTTTGCTCTTGGTCGACGAGGTCGGAGGCTGCAGAGGTGGCAGCTCTTGCCATTCTAGAGAATCTGGCGGTGGCAAATCTGGTGCCAAACTGAGGACACGTATGTTGCTTGAAGGGTGAGATGGCGGAGAACCATCACTCCATGACTGCGAGTTTGACGCTGGCAGACCATAAGAGGATCTTCGGGTGTCCGCCGCCGACGGGGAAGCGACTAAATCGGCTTGCTGTGTACGAATTGATCTGAAAGTTGGCGACGCTGGAGGGACTAAGGCGGCGGGCGCTGACGGTGCTGGCGCTGGCTGGTGCTGAAGAGACCTGAGGTGCTCGGCTTCCGCACGCCTATCTCGGGCCCAAGCTTTACAATTTTCTCGGAGATCATTCAGATACTGTGCCATGCCGTTATAAAACTAGGCGAAGAAGTCAGGAATAGTAAAACCAGACGCCACCAGGCTCACGTTGAGGCCCTCGGTCAAGTTGCCGAGCACTTCGGAATATCGATGATACGCAACGTCGAGCTCCTGGAGCGCACGTTCCCGTTCCTTCATCACAGGGTCGTTCAGAGTTAACTCTTCAAACAGCAGATTTTCTTCCTATCGAGGTTATTAGCCAACCATATACATGCATATAATAAAATAAGGCAGACCCGGATTTCGTCCAGCCGACCAGATAAGAGTTCGGCCTGGTCGTTCATCTTGTCCGACCAAACCTCGAGTTTGGACATTAAACTTTGGATAAGATCTTCAAACATCTCTGGTTCCAAATTGTCCATTCCCAAGAGCTCGGCTTTGTGTACGATGTCTGTCTCGCCATTGGGATCTGTCGCGATAGAGTGTCGAGCTTGCGATCTTAGTCGCCGTCGGTTCTCCTTGAGGTCATCAAGAGATTCCAGAAGGATGCGTAGTTGTCGGACATGTACCATCGGCTGATATTGCGAGGAATCCCTCTGGGAACCAGCACCTACACTCGGTACATACTCTTCTAGCGCATCCTGTGAAAGGATTAACAAGTCATCAATAACTTGTAAACTGAATACTTACTTCGTCTTGTTCAAGCTTCTCGATTATCTCCTCCCATTCTTCCCATTTAGCCAAGACCTGCTCATCTGACTCTCTCGCTTGTTGCATCAATTTCGAATAACGCGATGCTTGCTCAATCAGGTCTGCGTTTGCTTCCTGTGAGAGTGGGCGGTCCACCGGCAGGCCAGAAGCCCTCAATCCTTCATCTTCAGATGCCTCCAAGTCTAGAATATCATATGCCTCGGATACAGTAAATAAGGCAATATGACTTCAAATGGCTTGGGTGACGCACATCATCTAATAATTTCGAGTTGCTACCACCGAGCTTGACCACATCGGCAAACAAAGCCTGGACCCTCTTCACTCCACCAGCTTTCCGAACTTCTTCCGCCTTTCCCAAAAGCGACGGCGGGAGGCCAGTGGGACGCTCAAGAGCATCAAGAGCAGCAGGCAAATTAAGCTCTTGCAGTGTTCTGAGTGAAAACAGATAAGGATTGGCTGCACAGTTTAGGACATACGATGGCGCATACCTTGTAGCTGTTTGTTCGAGTTCTTCATCTTTCAGAACAATTTGGTCTTCCAACCACTCCTTTTTCCTTTCCTGATATATCACTACCACGAGCATGTTTAGCCTCTTGACATAGGTCAAGCAGAGACTCACAAATAGCCCTGGTGACGGCCCATGGCATCAGCTGTTCAAACAACATACTACCCAGCACCCGCCTGGGATCCTTCCATCCGTCTATCGGTGCTGGTGCGGTAACATTTCTCGCCTGTATTGGGGGTAAAGATGAAGCTGCGGGCACGTCTTGGTGGTAGATCAAGTCATTGTCGCGTTCAGCACGTGACGTGCTCTCATTAATTGCTTTAGACAGAGACTGCAGATCATCAGCAGCAACACAAGACGCGAACTAGGAAACTTACAGCAATGTCGTTCGTTACCAACTGACTCACGCCTCTCTTAGCTTCGGCTGATCCTTTTTTCACAAGAGCAGCGGCCAAGTGCAGGCGGGCGATCTCATCTCCATATTTATGCGCTTCCCCATCGGCACTGGCTTGTCGGAACTGAGCAGCAGCAAAGAAATGACTACGCTTGACTTCGATGTGCGAGAGCCATGCCTGACGAACATGTAAGATTCCTCTTGTTCGTGAGGAGTGGAAGTATACGCACGGTCGGAAAGCTATCACTTATTGGAGGCGACGCAACAAACATTGCCTGGTTGACCGATTCATACAATTCAGCCACCTAAATGACTGCTCAGATCTCCCGAAGCAAAGCAGGATAGATGTATGCGTACTGCGAGGGCAAGCTTTGCTATCGTGACATTCTTCATGTTACCACCTTAGATATGATGAGCTCGAAGACGGCTAGACAGGATCCGATACTGACCTGCTACAGCTGCCTGCCAGAAGCACTCTTGAGCCTGCACCAGCATGAGACGCTCAGCAACCTCGAGCCATGACTCAGTGAGATCAATCGGCAGAGGTTTCGTTTTTCCTAAGGCCTCTTGCAAGGCGGGAAGTTGGTCTGTCCGTAGAGTGCGGTATAAACCTGCGGCACTCTAATGATCATTGAGAGGATTATCTTGTCATGAATATTGCGCTCACCTCAAAAGCTCTCTTGGCCCTCCCAAGCGCCTCCGATGTCTTACGCCCTTCTTCCCCTGCACGGGCGCTCCAAGCAGCTCCCAAATTCCACATCACATTGCATATCTCCCAGTGAAAGTTCGACTCTGCGGGGGGAAGCGGTGCGGTCAGGGCGAACGATGCAGGTGGGAACGGCGGGGAGTATGGCAGGCGGGGTGGGGTCGATGGGGGTAGTCGTTTGATGAGCAACAACAGATGCAAAAGGTAACTAGCATCGAATTAGTAGATGACATGAGATATGACGACGATTGCAGCACTTACGTCTGAAGTGCTTCTATCTTCTGACTCGCTTGTTGCTCTATGCCCGTCAATGCATTACTCCTGAGACGGTCCAGCGCCTCGATGTCCGTGCGGAAGGCGTCCGCATGAGTAGGCAGATTCTCATTGATGTATGCGCGTATATTTTCCGCAAAGGACACAGGAGTTGATGATTTAGGTGGGATAACAAGCTGGTTAATGTGGGCTGGAGGCATGGCTGTCGTTCATTGGGAATGACTCTGCAGGGGCAAGGGAAGCCTCCGAGGGCGACTGTGTGGTGCGGCATGACGATTTCAGCGACCCTGAAGCGCCCGTGATGTACATACATAAACAGTTGAGCACGCGCTTGAATTTCTTATTCGATGCATGCCCGCCTTGCTGCCTCGCGTCTGACACGCCTTATTCGTCGCGCGACTACGATAAATTGGAAGCGAATCAATATCATGCTCGTGATGCTCTCAGTGTTGCTGCCTGGTGTCGAGTCAACACACCCCTCTTATCACCCCTCTCTGTTGTGCACGTCTTCGAAGCTAAACAACACCCAGAACACTATCCATGTGGTTTCATAAAGATGCCTCTGCCAAATCTGTCACATATCACCCCGAGTTGCGCATCACCTTCGAGTTTGAGACGGATACTGTCGTTGCAGGACGCGAACTGTGCGGATGGCTCGTTTTACAGTGCGACGCAGAAGAGGGCAGGCTGGCACTTGGGGATGTGATCGTCCAGATGGTCGGCACGCAGGATCTTCACCTTGCTGGAATTTCGGATGGTGAAGATCACTTAGAACACTTCTACCGGAAACGAGTCTTTCATTCACGATCCCTGCCTCCGTCTGGCGCCGTGGATTTGGGTGTTTCCTCCAGAGAAAACCCGCCAGACGGCTTCTATCCCGCGAAACAGGGGGAAACACGTTTCGCATTCTGCATCGATTTGCCCCAATGGCTGCCTGCGAGTATCCACTTCCAAGATGGTACTGCAAACATTTCGTACGAGGTAAGTCAGGTTGTGTACTATCATGCATGCCCCCCTTATGTGAATCTGTGAAGCTGCACGCCGTTGCAAGCTTTTATTTCGAATCAGAACACAAGTACCTGATGGAGAGTCAAACCATTCAAGTTGTCCAACCATGGAGCTCGCATGTGTACACCAAAAGCTCGCTCAATCGATTTGGTGAAGACGGGCTGCATTTTCAAGTCACTTATTCTCCGTATGTCCTTGCCAACAAGGTCACTGAGGTCGTGGTAGAGGTGGAGAACAATGCGAAACGATCCGTGAGTGATGCTCATATGGTTCATGACGCTATCTGATGAGAACCAGGTTACGGCCGTCGATGTCTCTTATTTTCTTCACCTGACTACTACGCCGAAGCTCTTTGATCCTACCCCCATTGAAGTGATCCATGAGGTTCAACGTCAACGTTTCGACACGCCTGACAACGTGGTACATCCCGAGAATATTGCAGCAATGAAGCTTTCGATCTGGGTTCCTGATCTTGCGTGGGGCACGAGTGGGCATAGACAAGGACGAAAGGACGGTCTGTTCAAGGTAGATGCGCTTATGTCGGTTTCTCTGGTCACATATGGAACACCGTAAGTCATTTGTTGGAGGATCCCGCTCATCTCACGAACTTCGTCTAGCGATTTACCACTCGTCATTCCAATCAAGGTCGTCCATCCTGCCGCCGTTCCTTGCTCTCCCTCTAAAGGTTTCCACGTACCATCGGAGAAATCATCTATCCCACCAATGTGGGAGTTCGGGAGCCCCGCACTGAAGAAACACGAGCGAGTTCCGGCAAACATATCTCCCCAGCTATCGCAGCTATCATCAGCACCCAATTCACCTATTCCAGGCTATGATCAAGATGATGTTGGTCGTACGCCTTCACCCGAGGTTGTCAGCCCTATCCCGATACGAAGCAACTCTGCTTCGTCTGATGGTTCCCGCGCATTCTCTGAAGATGTCAGGCTCCTGGAGGAAATGGTCGCTAATAAGACTTACGCTGTACAGGCGGCATCCCCCGTGAAAGTGGTTTCATCCTCTCCGGAAGAACACATTTCCCCAATAGATCAGAGCAGCCAACATTCACGGGACTCAGGCCGGTCGAAAGCTCCTCCTTTGGCCGCAATATTGCTTCATAAACGTGTACAGCTTCGCCATCCCTCGCGCAATCCAGGGGGAGCGCAAAATCTACAAACCAGCAATCTCCAGCGCAACATAATACCATCTAATCTAAGTTCCGATTCGAAGGCAGCACCCCCTCCGCGCACTCTGGTTGCTTCGCCTGTTTCTCAATCTGACGAGGAGGACGAGGACATCATCGTTTGGACACCGAAGCGAGCGGTGAAGCCAACCCCAGTCTTGTCTAACAAATCTTACGCCCAGTCATTAGCCATTTAGAATGAAGAAGAATTAGGTTGGTAGAGAGCTGCGTGTGATAATACATTGACTGGAGAGACTCCTCGTTATATCCGTACCCCAGAAACCCGGCCAGTACCCTTTCTCCTCCTGCTACACATGGATACAGATGGCTATCAATCCCAGTCTATCGCCCTTTTCCATCGAGCTTCTCAAGGAGATCTTTAGCTTCGTTGATCTTGCTGGCGAGATATGGCGAACCGCCACGGTCAGGATGGTTGGCGAGCATGATGTGTCGATGCGCATCCTTGAGGCGGTTCTTAATTAGTGCATTATCTCTAATTTTTCCATGAGTATGGTGAAGCTGGTAAGAAGAAAACTCGATGACCCACTTCAGTCCCAGAATGTCCAGCGCTTCCTTCCTATCCATCTTCGACTTGAAGCCACCCTTTGCCCACTCCTCAGAGGCTGTCTTTCCGAACCGGATAACGCCGCTCTTGACCAGCTGTCTCCCAACGAGAGCCGCTCCAAGGGTTGCTGCAGCGCCGAGAAGAATAGGAGTCGACATAAGAGAGAAGAAGCGCGACTTGGGTTGTTGGGAGCTGGTAGGATCGCTGGACATGCACGAGCGCTATTAAGGTGACGGCAGCCCTCGGCAAGAATAATATAGAGAGAGCATCGCCACTGAGAGTTTCTGCCGAGAAATTTTGGTGAAGCCGAACAACAAGTTCGATCACGATCCCTGACCTCGACATTTTGGGAGGGAGAACTGATTCTTGTGCACAACAACGGATGACGCCCTACAAGCAAGGTCCGAAACTTCCTGCGGCACTAAGAGAGCAAATCAATGACGGTACGGGAATCTCGTTGACAAGGTAGCAGTCTATTGACTCTGAAATAGATCGTGCCAATGGAAGACTACCGAGGTCGCAGCTCAACCGTCGAGAGGCCCGTAAGGAGCAGCGTCAGGCGAAGAAAGAACGCAAGGCAGAGCACTTCTCGCACAATCATAAACATCCATACGCTTCAAACAATGGCCTGGATCCAGCTCCAAACAATGATCTAAAGCGCCGTGCACCCGACGCCGGAGATGGCCCGGCTACCAAAAGGAGAAGGCTCAGCAAGGTCCAACAGACTGGGCAAGAGAAGAACGCAGTTCACTTCCTTGAAGAAGACAAGCCTTCTCATCCTAAACCCAAAACTACTTCTCTGGAAAGGATGGTTGCTCGAATGGATGAATCTCGACGACCAGGCACGAGCGCCGCGTTCCTTAGTGGGTTGCCAAAGACCCAAGCGGAGATGGAAGAAGATGCTAGAATTTCGAGATATGAAAGACTCCTGACGCAAGGAAATGAAAGTGATGAGGAAGATGGCCTCGATGGTAAGCACATGCAGTTCATCGTACAATGGATATGATGATTAATCGAACTCAGATCTGATTTCGTTTGCGGACAAGATTACGTCCTCGAAATTAAGTGTAAGTATGTCTGCTACTAAATAACGACAATGGTATAACACTTCTTCAGAAATCAGACGCTCGGGAAAGCGATGAAGACGTAGACGAGGACGACGAGGACACGGAGCAAGACGATCACGAAGTCGAACCAGAGGCCGATGAAGAAGAGTTTGATTTAGATGCCGAATCTGAAAATTCTGATATCAGCAAAGAAGATAGTCGGCACGATTCAGAAGAGGACGAAGATTATGACTCTGAGGAATTCCGGGGATTCGGGGACTATGATGATGACGATGATGAGACAATTGGAGCCGAAGTTGTACCTGATGAGGGTGCGTCTGAGCACCCAAACATCACAAAAGCCGCTGGGGCATATGTTCCGCCGCACTTGAGAGCGAAGCAAGTGGTACTCGAGGGGAACAAGGAAACCGATGAGCAAACAAAGTTGAAACGGCAAGCGCAAGGTCTGCTGAATCGGTATGGTAATTCCCTATCAATTGTGCAGGTATTAATCCAATGCGCAGGTTGAGCGAGCAAAATATTGGTTCGATTTTGACAGAAATCGAGGGATTATATCGAAATTTCAGTCGCAATGGTATGCGGGTCGGATCTGTTTGATGGATATCATTCTGACATTGATTAGATACTACAACGATCGTAACGAGATTGGTTCTCGACACGGTCTCATCGCGCTCCAATTTGCTCGACTCCTTTGTTATTTTGCATGCGGCGCTTGTGGCAAGTCTGACCAAAATCGTTGGCATCGAGTTCGGTATGGATCGAATGGCTTGCTCAACCACCATTACTTATAATGTCTAGCGGCAAGTTTCATCTACGATCTTGTCACTTCTTATAAGAAACATTACTCGATACTGCAGGCCGCTATGGAATCGCACTCTGTTGATGAGGAGCGTGGGAAAGAATGCACGAATCTGATCGTTCTCCTTTCGGAACTGTACAATTTCCAGGTTATTTCGTCCATCCTGCTCTATGATGTGATCCGCGATCTGCTAGATGGCGATTTGGCGGAGTTCAACGTAGAGCTCTTGCTTAAGTTGCTGAAGAGTATGTTCTGCTAAGCGCTTCCTAATCCGCTCGCTCAACGGCAATTGCAGACTCAGGAACCCAATTACGACACGATGATCCGAATGCACTTAATGACATCGTTGCTATCGTGCAACAAAAGACATCAAACCCGAATTCTGGAGCCTTGGGATCAAGGGCAAAGTTTATGCTCGAGACGTTGTCGCATCTGAAGAATAATAAGTCCAAGGCTGTTCAGAATCAGGCCGTGGCGACCGAGGCAACCACCCGCATGAAGAAGTTCCTGGGCGGACTCGGAAAATCTCATACAAGTGGGTTCCTCGTTGATTTCTCCCTTCTACGACTTAATTCATACGAGCAGTTCGATCGCACGAAACTTTGAGAGTTTCTCTCGCTGATTTGTTATCATCGGATCAGAAAGGCAAGTGGTGGCTCGTAGGAGCCGCCTGGACTGGAGATCCGCTCGTCGATCACAGGGATGAATTGGCTGTGGAGAAGGCTCCTGCTGTCTCAGAAAGCGCTATTCTCAAGCTGGCGAAGAAGCAGGGGATGAATACCGATGTGAGACGGAAGATCTTCGTGGCTTTGATGAGTGGCGAGGGGAGTCACAATCTTGCCAATTGGAAAAGCTGCTAATCAAGCAACAGGATTACGTGAATGCTCATGAGCAACTCAGCCAACTCAAGCTTACGGAAATTCAGCAGCGCGAAATCATCCGCGTCCTGCTTCATTGCTGTGGCATCGTAAGTACGTTCAGTTTGTCGGTGGTACTGTTCTCACGTCGCGCACAGGAGAAAACGTACAACCCTTTCTATGCTCTTGTCGCCCAAGAACTCTGCAAAGATTCTCACAGTCACAAAGTCACACTGCAGTTCTGTCTGTGGGATTTCCTTAGGGAACTTGGTGAGGCCGAGGTCGGGGGTACAGAGGTCGTGAAATCCGCCCGCGACCGAGAGTCCGTCGTGGATTTTGACGTGACTACCGCCAAGAACCGCGTTCAGAACGTGGCAAAAGTGTACGCGTGGCTCATAGCGAAAGGCGCAGCGAATCTGATGATTTTCCGAGTACGCGTACTGGTCTAAAATTCATGTTTCCGATAACTGATCGATTGTGCAGCCCGTCAACTTCACTGCTTTGCAGCCTCGCACAGTGATGTTCTTCCAGATCTTCCTGGTCTATATGATTCTCGACACTCAATTGCGACATCCGATTGTCGATGCTGATAACAAGCTCCAAATCCCAAAAAAGCATAATGATGAGGCGCTGGAGGAAGTTGTAATGAAAGCGGCCAGCAATGGTGGACTTGCGAAAGGCTTGATATACTTCGTCTCAAAGCTGCCCCCATCGACTGATCAGTGCTCCAAATCCATAGCGGAAACGACAGAATGGGGATTGGAGGTCATCCGTGATACTTTAAAGGCGGGGATGGATTTAGCTGCCACACTTGCGTGACCATCCTTCCATACCACCATTGTACATTTGACTTCTAGATTTTGTTTGGACATGATACTGCTGGTATACAGATACAATGAAAACAATTGAGGATGATGTTTCTTGAGGTATACTTCGCTTGTGAGAGGAAAAGTCATGCGGACGACGACACTGTAGTCTTGACAAACGCGGTCGTGCTGACTACGGTGCCAGTCTGACCCCCGAAACTGAAAGTTCGATGTTTCACGTGAGAGCTAGCCATGACTATGTTCAAACAAGATCGACAATCAGCTAGAACATATAAACGCACTGGAATTGTAACCGGGAGGCCGATGTCTCGAAGAGATTACGTATTTCGGCCTCGGTAAAATTGCATGCTATTTTTTGTCGTCAGTCCAAGGAGAACCCTGTGGGTGAGATACTTACAGGTTATTAGGAGCATCCCCCCTTCTTTCAGCAGTGCCCCGACCTTAATAGGGTAGAGACGAGAAGCTGGTTGCTCTAGCTGTTCGTACTGTCCTAAGGAGACAGCGTCAAAAGTTCCCTTGTCGAGAACTAGATCCCATCCCTGGCCATCTGACATATTCTCAAGATGAGCCGGTGTGTCGAATAGGATATCGCACTGCTTGAAAGTAATTTGGGACATTCCACGGTTTGCGGCAATGGCTCGAGCAAGCTCAACGGAGTGGTTGCTGTAATCTATGCCACATAACTGGTCGAGAGGATACCCGACCTCCGCTAGCCCAAAGAGAGTAACACCATTGCCGGTACCGATATCCAAAATATATGGAGAGTCAGGCGTCGGCGGAACGTTTTCAAGCGCCCAGTCTATCATCTTCTGAAGAACGTCTTCTCCAAACCTCTTGTTCTTAGCCAAACTGCGGACGCCGTGGAGTAAAATTTCGTACCAGACCTCTCCTTCATCGGCGATTTCATGAAAGGACCCGATCTCTCTTTGATACACCCCGTCCCAGCTAGCAGAGGAAATTAGCCAACCCGTTGACCCTAATGCTAGCTGAGGACGACTGACTGCTCCTTTGTGCCTAAACGTGAGGGATTGAAGTCAACAAGTGATGATGAAGCGTCAGTGTCCGTCATGTCGGAACTATCTGTTGAAGAGGAGGCATACGTCGGAGGAGAGGCTGTTGAAGCCATCGGGAACCGGGGACGCGACTTATATGTGGGTGTGTGCCAGTCGTCCGCAGGGTGTCTCTTATGCTCATCCGTTCGGCTCGACCATTCTTCCCAAAACTCAATATTGTTCGGTCACCTGCTACCTTTATGTCAACATCAGATTATCCTAGGCCCTCGAGTGAACGGATTGCTGAGCTCAGGGAGAATCTGGAGGCTATACGGGCTAAAATCAACGTCGTTGTCCGTTTCGTTTCGGACTCCTGATGTCGGCGCCTGACTCAACTCAGATGCTAGGTCTCCTCCGCAGGACTCGGTGACAAGAAGCCCAATTTGGTTGCCGTGTCCAAAATCAAATCTGCCGAAGATGTAATGGCGTGTTACGAAGACGGGCAACTGCATTTCGGGGAGAACTACGTGCAGGAGCTGATCGAGAAGGCAGAGAAGGTGAGGCCACATGGTCTAAATGCTAGCTGTGACCCTCATCAAATTGCCAGCTTCCCCAAGAGATCAAGTGGCACTTCATTGGTGCACTGCAAAGTAACAAGTGCAAGCCGCTGGCGTGTAAGTGCCACACCGCCGTGTGACAGACCATGTTGATGAAAGACTAGCGATACCAAATCTCTACGCTGTCGAGACGCTTGATTCGATCAAGAAGGCTGATGTCTTCCAGAAGTCACTTCCCGATGCTCGGTCGATCCCCCTACGTGTGTTTATCCAGATCAACACATCGTCCGAAGAGTCCAAGTCCGGCTTACCTCCCGTATCCTCAACATCATCCGGCTCAGAAGCTGTCGAACTCGCGAAGCACATCGTTCAGAAATGTCCTGCCCTGCACCTCGAGGGGCTAATGACAATCGGCTCTATTGAGGCGTCCACCACGCAGGATGAGAACGAGGACTTCGACAGGTTGAGAGATTCGAGGGATAACATGGAAAAGACGCTTAGAGAAGCTGGGCTGTTGGAAGGATGGGGTCAGGATGGGAAACTTCAGTTGAGCATGGGCATGTCGGCGGATTTTGAAAATGCGATCATGCAGGGGAGCGACAGCGTGCGTGTTGGGTCAAGTATATTTGGGGCAAGACCTAAGAAGCAATAGATCACAGTATTCGGCGAAAGTTAACTCGAGTATCAGACTATGTAATACAGACGGTCCGGGTATTCTAGCTCGATGCGCTGCCGAAGATCGTGTAGCGTCGGCAAATGCTGGGTCCAATTTCATCATAATCAGCTTTTGTGTGGCAATAAGAGTAGAACTCGGGCTGCAGGGCTTGTTAGAATCATGGAATGAAGCACTACTTGGAGAGACATACCAAAGACGCAAGCAGGGAACCACCGAACCAAACAGCATATCTTCGAGAACGTTAGTGTTATAATTGAAGCAAGCGACGCTTGGTAACGAACCTCTGACGTTTGTGCGAGATAACGTTGACCTCTACACCAGAGGAACGCATATGTGCACCGCTCGCAGTCTCACTGTCTGCCACGCGCTTGTCCACGATCTGCTTGAGGTCTCTCCGTAGCCGCTGCCCGAAATGATCGAACATTGTGGAGCCACCAGAAAGGACGATGTTACGATATAGTCCGCGTCGTACGTCGATAGGTGATTGCTGGATCACGTTATCGACAACTTCAGGTAGAGGTGTAAGGAAGTCAGACGAGTAGATCTCCGGGTTGAAGAAGATTTCAGGGGCAAGGAAACGTTCAAATCCTACATCGACGGCGTATTTCTATCGCACAATCGTTAGATGCTGAGAGAATGCGAGGGTTTAGAACGTACCCGGCCCGTCACACTGTGCTCGCCCTCAAATCGCTCGAAGTACTTGTAGGGCTCGGCATCATATTTCCGGAACTCCTTAACGATGTCCTGGCAGACATAGCTGTAATCCTCCTTGATCTTCTGCGCTACCCGCAACTGGTCCTCAGGGGGGATTGTTGCCGTCTCCCCTCGCTCACGCAGTAAGGCCTGAACAAAGGCGGTGATGTCACGACCAGCAATGGGGATATGCTTGATGGCGCTTCCGATGACGTATCCTTCAGCACAAGGAATAACGTGCGTAACACCATCTCCGGAATCAATGACGGTACCGGTCAGTGTGCGATCGGTAACCTTGTTGGAAGACCAGGATGCTGCAAGAGCCAGAACAGCTTGGACGGCAATATATAGACCTTGGATGTTGAACGACTCAAAGAAGATCTCCGCGGTAGTCTCGCGATTTTCCGGTGGGTTCAGAGGAGGTTCAGTCTACGCACAGCATGAGTCAACTCGCAGGTATGATCAAATGAGCAAGCGTACGAGAAGGAAGTAATGGTCCTCCGGCTCTGCTCTGAGGTACTTGAAGATACTCTGCTCCCAGTACCTCTCCATGTGATCCCAATTCTCAATTAATCCATGGCGAATCGGGTAATGAACACCATAACCTGGCTTGGTAAATGCCTCGTCTCCAATGTAAAAGTCGAGGTCTTCTATGCCTCGCTTCGACGCAAGGTGACCAGGCTTGGAGGGAATGGACGGTGCACGAGAACCCCCACCAGCTGTAGAGACTTGGTGCTCTCGAGTTGCGATTGCAGTTGGGAAGACACTAGGAGAGTCAAGCACCTGACATGCATTCAATCACAATGAACTCACAAGGACGGGTCGGAGTTCCCGGCAAAGCTAAGTCAAATACTCATCAGCGTTCTAACAAACGCTAGGTTGTATAATGTCCGTACCCTATCTTAGAGTAGCCACTTCCATTGTCGCTGATAATGGGCGCAAGGAGAGCCATGTTGGTCTGATATTTGGTGGTCAACCGAGCGCAGTAGGGACGCAGAGAGCGATCCGGAGACGGAACACGAAGCACAGTGAACGGATGCAATTACCCTTCGATGCCTCCTTTTTAGGAAACCACCATCATCATTGTTGGCACCTTTACGACTTCTACGACCTCTCTTCATGATTGATTGAGCTGCGAGTCTTGCCATAAACTGAAACGTGCCCAATCTTATCTAGGTATCAATTCGTCTCACCCTGCCACCTTGCTACCATTCTTTTCACAGACCTGATTAGATTTGTGCAATAAGCGCGCATTCAAGACTATCGAAGCCGCTCTGGCAGGTCGCAGACGCACCCCAGTCTTCAAGTTCTGTACACAAACAGTAATAGACATTTCCGCTCTCCTGCCCCGGCGTTCCAAATCCTGATCCAGGCGACAGCATCTGACAATTCGGATTGGATCCATTAGTACAATCGCATACACCAATGTCTTGGCCAACATTTTGTAACTGTAGAGTCCAGTTTACAAATAAGAGCAGTATCGTATGGCCAGCAATGAAATTGTAGCTCCAACAAGCAGTTACTCCGGGTGTATCCTAACGACAAAACAGGTACGGAGCCATCCCTTTTGTGGTCGCGAGACCCTTATGCGGTCCTCATCCACGTCTCAGCGCTGCATACCCTCCCGGCCATTGCCAAGGTCGCGACATTCGTTCACTTGAATATTTCCCCTTCTCTCTCACTTTGATTGTCGAGGGCGATGCTTACACTCAAGTCGGCAACCTCGCGTGCAGCGCTGCTGGCTGTTGTCGTGGTAGCTTTTGCTGTGCACGCGGTCGCGTCCCCAACAGACTTCCTCGGATCTGTGACCGTAAGTGGCTCCTGTACCTGAAGGGAAGTTGAGCTAATCAAACCTCAAGTCGGACGAGATCGACAAGTGTTCAGCAGCAGTAACGCTAACGGCGGTGAAGCATCAAGCGGCAGGAACACAATCAAATGTAATCCACCAGGTCTTTGCCTTTTTGTTCCCCTTCGAGTCTCCGGGTTGGAACTCTGGTGCGTCGCTAGTCTAGTAGCAACTTGACCCTGGGCTGATGATAATATATGTGAATAGTCTTGGCCACATTCTACATTAGCTCGTGAGTCACCGGTACAGTTTCTTGAACCTGCCTCATGCCGGCTTGTTCTCCAGGGTTCCTAATTTCATTCTTGCATTTATTCCCGCGGAGATTTCCCCCAGCACACTAAATGTCATGTCGGCATTTGCAGTGAGTACCTACGTCGTACCATCAGGTCCAGCTGACTCGAGAGAAGACTGGTGGACTGCTCTCTGACGTCATGCTCCACCTCGTCCCACACTCGTTTATGGGGGAGCACACGGACGACGGCGTCCACCTGCTGATGATTGAAGAGAGGCGGAACATTCTTATTGGGTGCGCTAGTTCTCCGCCGAACTCAGAAATGCGGGGCTGAAGATAAGATAGATTGGCAATGTTCTGCGGCTTTGCATTCTTCTTCATCATGGAGAAGTCGTTGCGCACCCTTTCTGGAGAAGACGACGATGATCATGGGCATGGACATGGGCACAGTCATAGTCATGCCTATGGTCCGGAACATAAAGTTGACTCTGCAGGATCTACCGCTGTCCGGCAGAATGGCGAGGGCCTGCGGCCTCGCAAGAAGGGGCAAAAAGCAACCGAGCCGGAAGGGAAGGAGCCTGCTGTCCATGCCACGTCCAAGCTTTCAGCATACTTGAACATTCTTGGGGATTTCATCCATAACATGTGTGTCTTTTCTCGATGAAGATCCGTCGATACCTACTGACATCCCGAAAGAACGGACGGCTTGGCGTGAGCTCGCTGTGTGCCGGGTATCCCGGTTTTACTGACAATCAACAGAATGGCGGCTTCTTTCTACTCATCTCCGCTGATTGGAGCAACAACTGCCCTCGCGTGCTTCGCGCACGAGATCCCGCATGAGATGGCAGATTACACGATCCTCGTCCGCAGTGGGTTCTCGAAGCGGCAGGCAATGATGTCCCAGTTCGGGACCGCTGTGGGGGCCTTCGTAAGTCACCATATCTGTGCATCTCCGACATTGCGGTTGACTTTCTTCTAATCAGGTTGGGTACGCACGATGATCGTCCTGTAGTGACGAACGTGATCGCTCACCCATGTTGCAGCACCTTTATAGGTATCGCGATCCACAACGCGGCGTCCGTAGGGGCAGATACGAAGATGGATCTGGCCGCAGCGCTGCGTGGAGAAGGAGCCGGACTGTTGGGTACGAGCGCTCAACCTGCTGACCTGGTCATTCCGTTTGTAGCTGGAGGTTTCCTGTACATCGGCGCAGTGTCCGTCGTGCCAACGTAAGCCCGCGGAACAAGTTGAATGAGCTGCCGACTGACTGCCGGCACGCCCCCCTTTTATAGGCTGCTAAAAGGGGCTTCTACGCCCACCCAGACACTGAAAGAGGTGAGCGGGCCTGTGTCGCCGCGGTGCTTTGACGTAAATGTAGGGTGAGATTGCTGACGAAAGTGTCTTTATTTTTTGTTTATACAGTTTGGAGCGATGGCGTTTGGTGTGTTCTGTATGTTCCTCGTCGCTTGGAACGAGTAGAATTTCAATGATATACCCGTGTATTCCCAAGATGGGCGATGTGTGAGGATGTTGGTCCGCGATGAAGCCATGGAAGCCGTGCAGTCAAATTGAGAAGGATGAAGAAGGGGAAAAGGGCTGAATAACCAATTGGGTGGACGAAGGCGCGCGGACATCCTTCCCTGTCTAGGGGCCCGGGGTAGTCTGTGGCGAGTTGTTTCCCTTTTCTTCCTTAGAAATGAGTGTTCAATATGACAGAGAATGAAGCCTTCTGGGCGTCGCACGTTCGTCGGTGTGCAAGCGATGATTGGTCGATGGCTGGTCCCTCGTTCGCCGGGCGAGGGCGGGTGCATAAATCGTCGGGCGCGCTTTTCCTGCTCTGTGGATGGGGTGAGCACCATGGCCAGGGTCGCGCGGGGAAGACGGGCCACTCTCACGCTCGGACACACATCGACGCATGAGCGGACACACGCACGAACGAAGCTTGATATTTTTCGGGTGGGAGAAGGGTAAATCATTTACAAGCAGGGACGCTCGGCATGGAATTATTCGATCAAAATGTCCCGGCTGTTGCTCTGATTTGAGAGAAAAGGGAGAAAAAGGGATATGGGTTTGGCAATCGGGCTGATGTGAGTTGCAGGGTAAAAAAGGTCTGAGAGGGCAATTGGGAGGCGGGGGTCGTGTGCCCACTCCATACCAAGTTAGTTGCTCTTTTGCCTCTCAGTTTGCTCTCCCGCTCCTGCCCGTGTCTCCCCCTCCTCTCACCGGTACCTTGCTTCCTCTCCCTCCCATCAAATTTGACAATCTCCTTCTCCTCCCCCTTCCTTTCCCTCACCCTTTCCCTTCCCTTTTCTCTCCCTCTCTCACACACACCACCTTTACACCGCTCAACTCCCGACCCAATCGGCCGGCCGAACACCCACGATCGTCCTCCCACCCCGATTTAGCAGGACAGAACCCCATCCCGGACCTCACACGACAGAACCCGACCGAAGCGCACGAGCGAGAGGGTTAACCACTTGTACTCTCCCTCCCCTGTCCCCATATACAGGCAAGGAAGAACCGCTCACCTACCGGCCCGAGTCCGTGCGTGTCTCCTACACACGTCATTCGCCCGCTTCCTCCCCTTCTCTACCCAGAACACTACTTAGCCCTCACCAGGCCCCGCCCTTCCCTCCTTTTTTCTCCTCGACTCACCCAGCTGGGGCAGCTCGCCCTTCATCAAACACGAGACGCGACAGCAAGGCCTCACTTGCTCACACGAACACACGAACACATCAACATCATGGGTCGCGCAGACGCAGTCCGTCCGCGCATCGTCTGTTGCGCCATCCCCATCCACCGCCCTTCAGGAAAGATAATGGTTATCACGAGTCGTAAGAGACGTGACCAGTGGGTCTGTGAGTGATCTCTCTTTCACATCACCCCATCTTCTCCAGTCGCGCGTGTCCATCAGACACCGAGAGATCCAATTGAACTCTGACGGCCGCACTCCCGGGACCCGTACCGGAGCGCTTCCGACGCGCCCTCGCCCCTTGCAGCATTCATTCATTCCATTCCATTCTCCGCGGGCGTCTTTGCTGACAATATTCTCATCTCTCTAGTGCCCAAAGGAGGTTGGGAGAACGGAGAGACTCTAGAGCAGGCAGCAGCGCGTGAGGCGCTCGAAGAAGGTCCACCCCTTCCCTTACATCCGCGTCTCTCCTCCTGATGCTTTTTCCCGCTTTGCGTTCCCTTTCCCGCTCCTGCTTCTCCTGCCCGTACACTCTTCCCATCGCCCGCCCCACCAGCCGGAGTACGAGGCATCATCAGCCGCTTCGTCGCTACATTCCCGAGCGACCAGACGATTTTCCATGTGTACGAAATGGACGTGTCGACTGTCGACGACCAGTGGCTCGAAGGCCATGAAAGGCTACGCGAGTGGGTCGACCTCCCCGAAGCATACAAGCGCGTTCAATGGAAGAGCGAGCTCGGGCAGGCACTCTCCCTCTGCTCTATCGCTCCTAAACGGTGATCGACCCGGACCCACCATCGTTGGGCCGACCAACTACTACATCCATCATGGCGCAGGGCATCCGAACGGACGGTACACAGGCAGACGACTATGCAAGCAACTTTTGTTTTATTCTCTCATCACCAACACACTTCTGTGGAAGGGTCCACACTGGGATCCAACTAACTAACAGCATGGCAAGGGCAAATTTAACGTCTGCAAACCTAGAGTCTCTTGCTCTCAACTTTTTTCTTACACAATCATGTACTCGTAGGAAGGCGATTGCAACATCTATCTTCCTCTTACATTACGCATATGCAACCAGCATCAATTTCCACTAATCAATCAAGCGCATTTTTTTGGATTTTAGTAATAGCTACAGCAACAACGGCTCTCAATTGCATTTTTTGTCAAAACAAACTATTTGCCTCTCCGTTGCGTGTCTGTCTGTTGAGTCGATGTTACATATCTACAAGAACTCACGTAGGCGAAGCCCGATGTTCATCAGGGTAGCGGCGAGAAGCACGCAGCAAAGAACCGTCGGCCCTATTCGGACACGTGAATCGCCGTAGCCACAGGCAGGCCACAATGAGGCTTACCATACTTGTCATAATATACGCTCGAGGCCTCCCCTCTCTGAAGCTTGATAGAACGCCACACGTACAAAAGCGCTGAATATGCGATCGCTGTCAGTGCTGCGGCAGTAAACGCACCCGCACTGATGATCCCAGTAATGTCATCGGCGGGTACAAAGTTGAGCAGGGCGGTCGCAATCGCGGAGATTAGGATCGCGAAACCCTGCCATTTCTGGCAAGGTCATCAGATATCTGGGTAACGGCTGCTGTACCGGGCTACCCGGACTCACCAGGAACGTGCGCTCGTTGGCAAAGTATACCTTGGGTTCCACTCGCACAGGGATAGCAATCTTATGACCCGGTGGTGCACGAATGTCTGTGACGTACGTGGTGCCGTAGTTTTGGGGTACCTTGCTTGCCGGTCCTCCCTCCCGCTCATCATCTGCATCCTCATCATCCTCATCTTCATCTCGGGCCGCATGCCGGACATGCGTTTCAGTAGTCCTGCGTGCCGCCTCGTTTTTGGCATTTGACAGAACCTCATGCAGACGAGCCTGGAAGTTTTTGTCAAACGCATCGGCTGTCTTGAGCGGCGTGATCCCGAAGCCGTTGCCAGGTGTGGCACCGGTTCGGCGCCGCTCACCGTTAGCCTCACGAGAACTTGGCCGGGTGGTGCTGTTGCGGCGCTGGCGGAGATAGGGTGTGAAGACATCCATCACCTCCTGGTCTTCAGGGATGGTACCTGGAGCGGCTTTTCCTTTTCCAGGGGTCTTCGGAGCTGCAGCCGCAGGTCCCGCATTTGCCGCACGGAAGGCGAGCGCTTCATTAGCCGAAGCTGATGGCACACCACTTACTTTCGCTTCATCGCTGGCAATGGCGAGATCCATATCCTCATCTTCCTCGCCAGAAGACACGGGCTCGGCATGATGGAATGGCACCTCGGGTGGATTTTCCACATCCGGTGTTGTACCTGAAGTCGTCTCACTGCGAGAGCCAGGCGGGACGTGTGGCCGATCGAAGCGAAGCGTGGTCGCTCGGCGAGTACGAGGCTTTTCGTTGATCTTCACACCCATCTGAGGCAACCAGTAGGGGACAAGATCCACCCGGTTGGGCAACAGCGTGGCACAGCCGTGGATGAATTTACTTCGGACCATCGATACTGAGCACAGGTAGTGTTTACGCATGGGTGACACACTCACCTGAACTTTGGCACACTCTCCACCATCTCACTGCCTACAAGGTCCCTCACCCACTGCGGTGGTTCTTGCCCTACCTGAGTCTGGAGCTTCACCTCCAGGACACCATAGGGGAATCGCTCAATGTCTTCTTTGGCCACCTGGTTGAACGGCCAGTCAATGCCCATGTCTGTCCGACGCCAGTTATCACCGGCACGAGATTTGCCGTCCCAATTGTCCTCTCGGATCATGCTCAGCTCAGTATCAAGGGATATGCGAACACGAGCGTCGCCAGGAAGCTGGAAGGCAGTGCGGTGGTAGAAGGAGCGCATAACTGAACGATAACATGAAGCACGGAAGGACAAAGGAACAGCGAGAGCGTACCAGGCTGCAAGTGCTTGTCGCGAACAGCCTCCTGCACTTCCGAGGCAAGAAGCTTCATGGCATCGACCTCCTCCTGAGTTTTCTTTCCTTTCTCTACCAGGGCTTGGAATTCGGCGTCCATCGTGTACTCGCCACGCATGTAAGCATTCACCTTGTCCTCCTTGATTGGAACACGGGCTTTGACGGATTTTTCACCAGTCCAATCTTCACGGTGAGTCTTGCGCTCCACAAAGATCTGTTCAAGATGTCAGATAGGTGTCAACTTATTCTCGATGAAGTCCGCACCTGCTTATTCTCCATGCCGCCGTACCAGCGAAGACGGATAGCCTGAGCTCCCTCTGTCTTCTCTAGCCGACCGAGGTAAAGCTCAAGATCCTCGTTGTCATAATAGATGGACGTGATGGCGGTATCTTCAAGCTTGAATTGCTTCTTCGGGTCGAATACTGTGTCTCAAGTCAGTAGGAATTCCTGGAGGTTGAAAGATTCGTTTTTACCCAAAACAGGAAGATGACGCATAATAGCAAGCTTGACCGGCACAAGGTAGTCTTCATGGACCTATGGCAGGGTTCAGCGACTGAACTGGCGCAGCGCAGAGCAGGGCATCGCTTACCCAGTACTTGGTGGTTTGGCGTTCGAAAGCGCTCTGAGAGCCACCTGCACTTGGATCGCCCTGCACCGGATGACCACGGGTCTGAACAAGGTCATAGATCTTCGAAAGCTTGACGATGAGCGTCTCCCAGTCATACTTGTAGAAAGGGCGACGAGCGAGAAGCTGGGGTAAGAAATTAGTCTTCAAGTCCATTCCCGTCCGTTTCTACGCTCGCAATCAGAAACCGCAAACGGGAGTGCATACATCAGCATGCATACATCATGTTTCTGTGAGATAAATTAAAACATGTTTTCAGCACAAAGGGAAGTTCAAACCTTGATGATCTTGTAAAAACCGGCCAGGTTGAGTTTGCTGAAGACTGCCAGATCATGGACTCGAGCACACTCAGTCGAGAGCAGATACACGGAGGTCAGACCACACTTACTGTCAGCCACAAGGTATGCAACCTCAATTTCGAGTTCGGCGAAGCGATCTTCCAACGCGTCACGGTTGTCGGTATCGTCCCAGTCCTCATCATCTGACCCTCCATCGTCGGCGGCGTCTATATGATGTCCGCTGCCCTCCTCACTGCCTCTTTCTTCGCGTTCGTGGTATTCAGTAACCAGACTGGTCACTGCATCGTCGGCAAGGGCAACCCGCCTTTCCAGCTCGGGGATCTAGCGAGCACGTTCGTGCATAAGCGGAACAGCCACCGATGAATCGAAGGAATATTTTGTACCTTGCTGTCCTGGAAGTCCGCGATCTTCTCCAGCTCTTTCTCCAAGGCATTCTTGAACTGCCTCTCATTTCCAACCGTCCAGACCCGGTCCTTGCTCTTCAATAGCGATTTCAAGCGCCCATATTCGAGATAGTATGGTTCCCACTCCTTGTACAACTCCTCCTACAAACTCATCAGTATATTCCCAGCGTATCATTCCAAAGTGAACACCTCACCTGAAGCTTTATGCCGAATTTCATTGGATGCCCCGCGAAGACAAGAGATGATACGGAAAGGGAACTTCTGGGGAGAATTGCAACCGTGCGAGGCTAAATGATCCGGTGTGTGAATTCTTGAATAGACCAACAAACCTGGACCGACCAATGAGCGCACTCTTCCTCCAGACCAATCCGGAATCAGGGATCCCACGAACGTGCGAAACTCAGGCCCCGCACGAGGTGAAAGCTTATGACGGTTAATGAAATACTTCCGTCTAACGTCAGTCGATCAAATCCAAGCAACGTGACGTCGGCCCGGACGCGTCTCTTTCCCCCGCAATCTTATCACCTCAGGGTACAGCACGTCCATCATTGTCCTTGGCCATCACAATGGATGATACGCCGTACGAGGGTAATCAGCCCCATCTGGGTTACGGCAACGTCAGTATTGCTGCTGCTTTTATTGTCCTCGATGTCTCCCTGTCTTTCTTCTTAAAACTCGGCGTTGGAACGTCCCTCTTGATTAGCGCGATCCGATGCGTCATTCAGCTCAGCTTCATGGGTCTCGTACTGGACAAGATTTTCCAGACAAAACACCCAGCCGCGGTGTTTGGACTGGCGGCTCTCCTCATGCTCCTTGGGACCTTGGAAACCAGTGAGCCCGGTAGATTCAAGCATTGACTAGATCTCACGCTGTCCAGCCACTGATAAGTGCAAAACTCGATTCCGCTACATGGTAAGTCTCTGATGACTCACTTGGAGTGGAAATGATCAACTGTGTGTTTGTTAGTTCCCCTCCGTTTTGTTGGCATTTCTCTGCTCAGTGATGCCCATATCCATCATTGGATCTATATTCGCAATCAAGAATATACCATTTTGGACACCCGAGCAATACATTCCTATTCTCGGTCCGTTCCCTTTCCAATAGATCTTGGAAGAGGCTAACGTCTGAAAAGGCATGTTATGTGGAACGACGATCTCTGCTCTTGTTGTCGTCATCACCGCTACGCTAAAGGAGCTACAGTATGTCACATCGCTCGCATGGAGGGCGACCAACTAAGGCTGAAGCAGTGATAATCGAGACAAAACAGAATGCATGCTTGCAATGGGAGCTAGCCGCTACGAGGCTTGCTTACCCATTGCAAAGGATGCATTGACACTTGCGCTTACGCCAGTAATCAATCAAATGAGGTACGGGATTTGTCCCTCGAATTTTTCCGCATGCATCTCACTATGCAATAGTGTCCTTGGCATAATCAGCATCCCGGGCTTGATGGTATGCTCCCCCATAGAGTTCTTGTCATCTGCTAACCCATTGCGCAGAGCGGTGCTATCCTTGGCGGCTCGTCTGTCGAACAAGCTGCAAAATTGCAGAGTAAGCATCCCTGTCTACCGGAGGCCAAATTCCGGACTCAAGTCATCATTTTACAGTGATAATGATGTTTCTTATCGCCTCGAGTACTGCGCTGGCAACGATTGTCATCACGGTGCTGGCGCTGGTCATCGTGGTTGACCCCGAACATCGTCTGCGCCCAGATCGGATCGACACGAGGGATGTGTTTTGCAAACGAGTCCTGATAGGTGCACGTGATGGTATTGCGACTGAGTTCACACGGGTCAAGGACAAAATATATGGATCCAAGAAGCCAAATGGAGAGGAGCACGAAAGACTTCTGGGATGATGTAGAATTGTCGCTGATGAGTAGATTCATTCCCCGTTTCAGTGTATCCCTTCCTGCTGTATCCGCAACAACAAATGACAAAATGAAGCAATCGGTTATCGACCGCATACACTTTGCAATGTATTGCTCTTTCGATTATTCAGGGATTTGTACAAAGTACGCTTTTATACTACCAGAAGTGAAGCAAGCGTAGCCTGAGTATTGACGACCTAGATAGATGACCGTGAATAGACGCCCACATTGTTACTATTTTGACGCACCTCTAGGGCCTGTTCCACTTCCAATCGCCTTCTGGCGGCTGCTAGCCAGTCACCCAGTAATATTTTTGCGGTTCCCTTGAGCTGATTAAGCTCCCGCGCCGTGTTCTCCAAGTCTTTCTCCCCGACGTAGTGCTCAGCCCGCGCAAGACTGCTAAGAACATCGTTGCCTTCAACGAGACCACGCCGTTTGAATCGGAGGTGGGAAAGGATGCTGGAAGCGATATGTTCTAAGACGCCAGCATTCTCATCGGGCACCAGTGCAACGCTGACGACGCGCGGGTAGACTGTTGTTGTAAACCAGGTGGCTAAATCCGTGTAGGGCTCAACGCCGACGTCAGGCAGATCACTTGCTTCGAGCGAGTCCAGAGCAGCAGTGATAACAGGGTCTTCCTTTGCTGCGGTCATATTCCGCAAAATCCGGAGCTCAGTCCTGAATGGCTTTCTGACAGGTGCATCGATAGCATTCTGTAATGCGTGACAGGCGGCATTCAGAGCGTGCAGGCGAAGATTCTCGTCGAGGTATGCGGAGTTGTCAAGCGTGAGACGCTCCAATTGTTTGAACGAGCTCGAAAGATCCTCCAGCTTGGCCAAACGCGCACCTCGTTCTTGTTCGACACGAACTTTGATCTCGCGGATCCATCGGCGCTGAAGCTCGATGCCCTGAGCAATGACTTCCTCCTTTAACCTTCAAGCAGCATCAGCACCTTGACGCAAAGAATAAGCGGAGGCTTACCTCTGGTTGATGAGTTCGCTCTGGGTGTCCAGCTCTGCCTGGAGCTTTTCCTTGTATTCAGTGATGAGCTTGCTCTTTTCGCCCTCGAATGCGTGTTTCCAGCCATCCTCTTGCTTGTCCAGCTTCTCTTGAGCTTCCTTTTCAAGACCGCGAAGCTTTCCTTCCCATTCATCTCTTGTTGATTCAAGCTTCTTCGAGAGCTCCTGACGTTGCTCTTCTTTGACATGTTCCATCCGCTGAGCAAGCTGTTCAAGATCAGTCTTTGCTGTATCGATCACACCCCGAGCGCTTGAGATGGCAGTGGGGTTGGACGTCGAAGACAACTGAGCGGACAGCGCATCGATAGTGGAAGCAAGCTGGGCGATAACGGGCTCGGAAGATTTGTGCTCCATTGTGATTAACGAGGAGACCAGAGGGAGCGGTTCTGCAGCTGGTGGAGCATCTGGCTGTCTGGATGGGTCGGTAGGTCCCGACGGAGGTTCAGTTGGGCTGAACGGCCGGGCATGGGATGCCTCTGTGGGTTTCGGCATGACACTGACAGCATTATCTTTGCTAGGGAGACGATATCCGGGAGGCGGTTCAAAACCAAGGGGAAGCGGGCTGGTGTAAACATTCCCTGGCAAGGGTGCGGTTTGGTGGGGAGGCGGTGGGGGGCTCGGCGCGTTCTTATCCACTTTGAGGGCGTCCTCCGACTTTGATGCTAGGTGCGCGTCCGATGAAGATGGGCCTTTCAAAGCCGCCTCTGCTTCTTTCACCAACTTGTTCGTCTCGGGGTCGGAGAACTTGAGCCGAGGAGATGAAGCTTTCCCTGCAATGACTTCACGAGATTTGCTCGTTAACGAGCCTTGCGTCGTGGCGAGTCGATCAATTTCAGCTTGTGCCTGACGCTTCAATTCCTCAACATCCTTTCCCGTTGCATCAGCCAGAGACTCCAACTTTCGCTGTGCCCTCTCCTTGAGTTCTGCTGCCCGTTTACTCAGATCCTCCTCAGCTGTAGGTCTCTGATCCGGAATTTGCGAACGAACCCGGGCTCTCGATGAGGCAAGCGGCGGGCTGTCCGGTTCAGACGCGGCTCTTTCCACCTCAGATTTCATGTAAGCAGCGGCAGCCTTCAGCTCGACTTCATCGAAGTAGTCCATAATAGTTTCTCCGAGCGGAACCGACTCAACAAAAAGGTCATGCCAGCGGTCGTTTCTGAGGGCGAAGAACGTTGCAACGGAGTAAAAGACGATGGCCAGAGTGGAACCGTAGAATGCGGTTCGGGTGAAGAATCCAAAGCGGCGTTTCCTGGGACGAGGCGGTGGTATTGCTGCCTGGGAGGGGGGAGAGACAGATGGCTTGCTGCTTGGCGCTACTCCGGGTACAGCTCCTGGCGTTGTTGCGGGCGTCTTGTTCGCATTCCCCGGTGCATCGGCAAATCGCTGAACAGGATCTGTTAACAACTGTAAATATTGGCTGTGCACAATCACTCACTCTCCGCAATACTGTCCTGCATGTCGCCGTATTCGCACGGCTCGAGAGGAATGCCCTCGAAGGGCCATAACCCATCAGGCGGGGCATCAGTCGTGTTCAGCACGTCAGCCTGTGGCAGGCAGGCCGTTGGACGATGAGGGAGACACCTGGTGGTGTGACGAACACTGGGAAGGAACGGCAACTGCCTCCGTCGCACGCCACAACTCTGGGAGCCGCAACTCCGATCCCAACCTGGTCTCTTCTGGCTCCAACTCTCCTGTATCTATCTCTGTTCCACACACTGTGCTTTTCCCAGAGAAGATATATAATAAAGGGGTGATCTTCTCCCTCACAATCTGGTCGTCTTCTTTGCTATCCGATTCTATCTTCCTGCTGCTTCGTTGTTGCGTACTGTCCTTGCCCTCGTCTAGCTACCGCACTCAAGGGCTCTTTCATCGTCTGTCTCTGCTATGCCTCCCTTACGAGAGAAGAACCGGCTCTGGGCAAGCATTGCCCCTCCAAGCAATGCATCTCAACCCCCCTGCTCCTCTCAATCTTTGGTACCCACGGATCGTCACTCGACTTCTCTGAGACTGCTATTCAAGGACACGGAGCGACTGCTCCAAGACTTCTCTAGCCAACATGAGAAGCTCCTAGCTGGGACATCCGATGCTCTCAAGAGCATGACCGGTCTGGATGAAGCTCTTCTATCATCCCGTCAAGAGGCTGTAGCTGAGATAAAGAATATTGGTATGTTTCTGAGTCCGTTGTGGCAAGCGGATAGGCTGCATATATGCGCATATCTTGGGGTGCTATTCGGACGCATATATGCAGTCCATCATCTATGAGAGATCATCCTGTGGCTTATTTGCGACTATGTAGCGAGTCTGCAGCACCTTTCTTTGAGGGAGCAGCTAAACGAGATCGGCTCTGCGGTCACGGGACTATCTGAGGGATGTGGCAAGATCAAAGAGACATTGAACGGCTTGGACGAGGTATGCATGTTACATTCCTAAGCAATCTTGTGACGGAGAAACTTCAGGTGCTTGGGAGACGCATTGCGGATACTCTTGAAGTTTTCCACAAACGTCTGGACGACATGGGCGAGGTCAGTTCCTGGAGTCATGCCTTCGGATAAACCGTAACATCCAGCTTAGAAGCAAGAGTTTATTCTGGAAACAGTCAAAGACATAAAACATCAACTGGATTCAGAGGTGCTTCCGGCTCTTCCAAAGCTTGACGATCTTCCTTCACTGCTGGATGGGATTTTTGAGAAGAGAGATGAGGCAGCTCAGACGACAAGGAACGATCTGATGTCCAAGCTCGACGAACTAAGAGCATTGGTCAGGCCATCACAACGCTTGCCCATACCTCTCGTCTCTGAATCTGTTTCGTCTTCTCTGCCGTTCAATGCTCAGTCTGCTTCGCCAACCCCTGTTTCTGTGCGGAATCGTGTTCCGTATACCCAGGATTGCTCCTCTCCCTCTTCGTCGCCGACTAGAGTTCTTCCGAGCCTTTCATCCTCTCCCATCAGCTGTCATCCCCGTGGGAAGGTCTCGGAGATCAACGCCCTACGTGACACACTTTCTCATTTGACTGTTGCCTCTCGGAGTCCTCCCGAAAGTCGACGTCCGCGCGCTGTATCTCACCGATCTGAACGACCGATACCCCCTGCGCCCAAAGATGGGTTCACTGAAGCGTTATCACAACTCTATACCGCACCAACATCAAGAGAGTTGCTGTCTTCATTGCCCAGTCTTTCGTCATTTCCGTGGAGCTCTAGCCAGCTGGCGCCCTCTCTTTCGTCCTCATCCTCCTTACCATCAACTGATTCGCAGATCTCTTCCCTTGAGGACTCTCCCCCGTCGAGCTATTTACGAGATAGGGGCGATATGCCGAACGTCCGTGTGCCGCAAAGGAGGAAACTAAACCTCCCAAATACCCATATGCAAACATCTCCGAAAACATTCAAAATCAATCAACATCAGGATCTACAGAAAGATCGCGACAGTGCAGGGCCAGGCTTAGATTATATTCGTGGGAGCAGTGAGGTACGCGCCCCAGATTATCTAGATTGACACTCGCTTACGCAAATCGACAGACACGCATGCTTCTCGTCGATCCGGAAGAAGAGATCGATTTCGACTGGGGCGACGATAATGATATGGAATGGGATTGAACAAAGTTACACTGGTATCTGAAATGTTGTCTGTTAGAGAGCCCCTTCCGATGCAATGAGTATGATAAGTATGCTAAACACAGCCTCGTGCTCTTGTACATGTATGTGTACATTCCATTACAGCTGAATTGTACCGAATCAGTCCTTGAGTCGGGGGTATCATCAAAGCGGTGGAAGAGGTCGACGACATTGGGGACAAATATTCTTGATTGCAAGCCACTACCAAGGAATGAGTGTGTGTGTGAGGAACTGGATAAGAAGAACGTACGTGCTCAAGACAGTTTGTGTGCTATCGGCATACGTATAAGCATGAGTACAAGGTGATAAATATTCACTCACGAAGAGATGATGGCATGGCGCTAGTGCATAATTTTTCCTAACGGTGACACTGGCCAGAAGAGAAGCCTTGTCACCGGACTGCGCAACTGAGCTTTCGGGCCCTATGACGATGGGCTCCATGCAAATGACGCAGTCACCCAAAGCCTTCTCTGGTGCTTCGGCATCCGCAGGTGAAAGAGGAGGATGATAGTCGTACGGTTGTGTGGCTGTCCACTATATCCACAATATGTGAGAGCGAACAGGCAAAACATCACGGAAGTACTTACACTTCGGGGAAGGAAGAAGGCTGGGCCGAAGAACTCTTGACCGAACAGAACAACAACTTGGAACGTCACCCAAGCAACCACGATCCAGACCCATTCTGTGCAAAGAAGGATAAGAAAACTGTGTTGTGTCTCGAAAATGAACGCACCAGTCGGTTCAGCGAATAGGACGTTCCGAGGGCATGCAAATATATCTGTTCATGTCATCAAAAGATCGGCTTTGTGATGGTAGCAGAATTGCTCACAAAGCACGAAAGAGAGCCGTGCCAAACTTGTGCCAATGACGTATGTCCAGCTCAACGCTTTCCGGGTTCCCCGCCGAGCATTTCGCACGATTTGGGGTACCCAGAAGGAGTACAAAGCACCAACGGCGAAAAGAACGAGTGAAGGGGACAAAGTTGCCTGAACGAGGAAAATGAAGGACAAGAGGAGGAGAGCCCCTACGAAATATTAGTTCAATCATGGGAAACTTGATATAGACCTACAAAACTTTGATTCCGGGTCTGTAATTGAGTTGACGGCGCGCCACAGTAAGGTTTGACGGAACAGGCCACTGATGGACGGGCGAGTCGTTGGTTGAGCATTTGCTGTGGGGTTCGTGGGTACAATTAGTGCGCCTTCTGCAGGCCCAGTTGTGACAGGAAGGGGGAGCTCTGATGTCTGACGAGGGGCCGGTGCCGGTGCCGACGGCCCAGCAGCAGCAGCAGTCTGCGCCGCTGCTTGAACCGCATCATCTTCGGGAGCTTGTATACGGTGTATCAGAGTTGCGTATCGCTGATTCATGATTTTAGCGAATGTCCATCGAGAGAGCAACTGGGTACTCACGACTTCGAAGACCAAGAACAAGGTTGCGGCCAAGAACCCTGGGGCAATCAAAGAGAGAGATGCGCGATTGTCACTCACAATGCCAATCGTGAGATGCTGAAGAAGGTGATCAGTTTGGTTTCACGGACAAAAGTGCTTGTTCCCCCACGCAGACGAAGGAGTACGCATCGCCAACAGCTTGAATAGCGAAAGACCACCTCGATAATTTGGATATACTTGCAGGTGTCCGGGTGCTCTCCATTTGCCGAACAAGCAGAATGAGTAATGTCAGATACACAATGGATGCAAGCGATGCATCTGGAAACGGAAAATCAGTCAATGGAAACCAACCCAACCCAGGCACGGCATACAGGTAGTTGCTTTCCTCCAAAATCGGTCAGCCCTATTAACGCCAAATGAGATTCTTCAACATCAACATAAGAATGATAACAAACTTGAGTCCACCCAGATCATCCAAGACAACGACAACGCCGCACTTCCAACTTACAAGCGCTGCCTTCCCTTTAATTGCTTGTGTGCGGTAGGTATTCTCGCCAGTGGGATCTCGTGACTCGCGCTCAAGATCTAGCATTGCATGCAACGGCAATGCCGAAGGCGCAAGGCGAAGGTATAGTGCTAGGGGACAAGATGTAGGTTGTATGGGCGCTGTAGGACGTGTCATTAAAGAACAGTCCCTGGAACAGGCGTGAATGACGTACGCATGGGTTCAGACATGCCGGGGGAGTTCGCAAGATTCTTTAGCTCCTTTAAGCGACGCTTCAGTTCATACACAATAGCCCAAGATGTCGAGTTTTGAACGTTTTGAGGTAATAATGGGGGCAGTTGGCGCAAGTCAACAAATCGCCTAACACGATGTGAGCTGCGTCGTGAAGCTCCAGCTTCACAATGCGTACCCCACGGGAGATGCGATGGCGTATAGTGTCCCGTTCAGAGGAAAGTGGACACCTTCTATCGAATAGGACGCTGTAAACTCCGCTGGCGACGTCACATCCAATTGTCCCTACGGTGGCTTTCAGTCTGCGGCTCACTGGATGGAGGTAGCACGTACGTGAACGAAGGTCATGTCATCCTCGCTCTTCTCTTCTTTTATGTTCAATGCGACCTTTCCCTTCCCATTCCAGTTCCAAATATACTCCTCTTTCAGTATCTGCGATTCAGTAACGTTTACTTGCTCAAACAACTCCTGTGCCTCGGAAGCCCAAGGAAGATTGTCGGCTATTGATGACAAGTTGTAGGTGATTGCCGGAGAGCGAAGAAATCCAGTTATGTTGTTATGATAGGAGAATCCTGAATTGGGGAGTGGTGTTTCTGGTAATATGTGGGCGAGCATAGGAGGCACAGATGCTGGTGGAGGCGAGGCCTATTTGCATCAGTCAGCTGGGTTGTGCGTCTTGTTGATAGTAGTGATCGCACGAAAGTGAAATTTGATTCGGTACTATTGACATATGCGGTGAACTCATCTAATTCTCTTGTTCGAGCTTTTAAGGCTTCGACTGCATGGTGGTCAGCTCAAATCTCGAGAACCGCCACAATACATGACGTACGCAATCGCAAGTGCACTGCGGGGTCCGGGCCAGTTCCACTCATGAGAAAGAATATTAGGATGATAGTGATCAACGAAGACAGCGGGGACGGACGCTGGGCGTCCATCTTGATTGACCGCTGGTGACTACCACCCAAGTTGTGTGGTCGAAGGACCTCCCGCAGCGCTTAGGGTTCGGCACGATGATCGTGTGCTTCTCGAACGGCCACACCAGGGACCGCTCCCCGCATCGTCAGGGACACGTAAATTCACTGGTTCTGTCAAGTGAACAGACCTCGTGCAAGTCAACTCAACAGTAATGTCCTCTGCCGCACGAGATCGTCCTCTGTTACATGTCCCGTCTGAACCGCAGAAGACCGAGACAAGCTTGTTTCGTGAGCACATCAATGCCAAATATGGGCTGCACCTGGAGCACTACGGGGACCTATACAAGTGGTCTACTTCTCCGCAGAGCTACGACAAATTCTGGGAAGAAGTCTGGGAATGGACCGGCGTGATAGGCGATAAGGGATCTATTGGGGTATGCAGCGAGGGGTCTACTTGTTCTTGTCCGACACTGAGGGAGCAACAGGCTGTCGACACATCTCTAAGGATCGATGATGTGCCCCCGTTCTTTCCTGGATCGTCTCTAAATTTTGCGGAGAATCTGCTGAGGCATGGACAGTCAACTAAAGTTGCACTTGTTCAGGCAGGTACGTCCAAACAACTTCCTCGTGCCTTTGTCGTCTAAAGGGCATCAGTGGAGCCAACTCCGAATAACCTTCCACCAAAGGTCAGAAGTGTGACCTACGCAGAGTTAAACACTCTGGTAGCAAGGCTTGTGAATAACCTACGAGGATATATTAATCCAGGGGACAGAGTTGCCTCTTATTCTTCGAACAACATCGTGAGTGTTCTCGAAAGTTGAATACGGGAACTAACATTGTGCAGGAGAACATTATTGCCTGCCTTGCCACCACAGCTCTTGGCGGAATCTGGGTCAGCGCTGCGGCACATTTTGGAGCAGATGGTGTCCTCGAGCGCCTGGAACAGGTGAAACCCAAGATCGTGTTTTCTGTTGACGGGACTGTGTAAGCCATTCTGGGCGTAGTGGTCCAGAGAGCTGAATGGTGTTTTAGTTACAATGGTCGATGCCATGCACACATCCCAAAATTGGTCTCTGTGCTTTCTCGTCTCAGTATCCCCCCTGAGAAGGTCGTTATCATTCCAGGCCTTCCCCAATCCGAGTGTCCTCCAGCCTACGAGTTTCAGCACAACTGGATATCTTGGGATAAATTCCTTGCACCAGAGTCTGCTGTGGAGGGTCTTCCTATCAAATTCTTCAGAACAGCTTTTGACTGGCCTCTGTGGATTCTCTTCAGCTCAGGAACCACTGGTGAGCGACACGCCCTTGGCATGAACCTCTCAACTAAAGCTCAGGTAGGGAGACCAAAACCAATTGTACATCGAGCAGGAGGAATGCTGCTCCAGCTAAACAAAGAGCTACTTATATGCGGCGACTTCAAAGCATCCGATGTATTCTTTTATTATACCACGACGTACGTTTTTGCGAATGACTTTGAACACGCTGACACGTTGAAGTTAACACTCACCCAGAGGCTGGATGATGTGGAACTATCTCATTGCCGGACTTACAGCCGGATGCAGTTTGGTTTTGTATGACTGTAGCCCTTTGAAAGACCCGTCTATCTTATGGAGGTTGGCTGAACAATGCAAAATAACTGTTTTTGGAACAAGGTCCGTATTGCCAGTCTACTTCTTCGCATGAGTTTGCTTAATTTGCTGCAGTGCGAAGTATCTGGATGAGCTCGAGGCATGCAATCTGTTCATCTAATTCTATTTCTGACTGAACGACTCTAGAAAGTGTACGAGCCTCGCGGACAGCATGATCTCTCTTCGATCCGGATGATCATGTCGACGGGGTCACCCCTAGCTGCATCACAATATGACTACGTTTACAATCACATACAACCCAACTCGGTCCTAGCCTCGATTTCTGGTAATCCTCTTTGTAAGGAAAGATGTAACAGATACTAAAAGGTATTTAGGCGGAACCGATATTTGCTCCCTATTTGTTGGCCAGAACACGTCGCTTCCTGTCTATCGGGGTGAGGTACAAACTCGAATGCTAGGAATGGGTGTTACTGTCCATCCAACTCCAGTATCGACATCGAATGAGAAGGATATCGAAGGAGAACTGATCTGCACCCTTCCATTCGTCGCACAACCACTTGGCTTTTGGCCCCTTCCGGGATTCGGATCCGATGAGGAAGTCAAGGCTGCAAAGAAGAGGTATATGGAAGCATACTATCAGGAGGTGCCTGGTGCCTGGTGTAAGGAACAACTTTACAGATTGTTATGCGCGTTGCTGATTACAATCAAAGACCAAGGAGACCACATCATTGTAACTGCGTCGAGGATGCACAATGCTGGTGGCGTCATCATGCTCGGTCGATCAGACGGTGTTCTTAATCCTGGCGGTGTAAGGTTTGGAAGCGCCGAAATATACTCTGCGATATCGATCTTAGACGAGAGCCCCGTCGGGGTCGCTATCTCCGACGCATTGGTTGTTGGATTGAAAGTCCGGGGAGGTGCAGACGAGAAAGTCGTGCTATTTCTGAAGATGAACACTAATTGGCGTTCTTCGCCCTCATGGGAAGAGATAGTCCAGGCAGTGAAGAAGGTCATTCGAGAAAGACGCTCCCCACGACACGTCCCGGACTGGATCATTCAGGTCAACGATATTCCGTACACCCTGAACGGGAAGCTGGTAGAGGTGACGGTCAAGAAGGTATGAAACAGAACATTTCCTGATCGAGTCTGCAGCTTGACGCCAATTCAGGTTATCAACGGAGCACCTCTTTCTACGATCAACGCATCTACATTGCGGAACCCGCAGTGCCTGCCGGAATATGTTGAGCACGGAAACAAGCTTCGTCTTGAGGCAGGCGTCGACAACAGCTACAAATTGTAAGATATTCATGGACATTGATGAGTCTTGACAATACAACACTATTACAACAAGAGAATACATATTGACTGAGACGCGTGCCAGTAATAATAGGACGCATAGCATTAAGGCAACGTGAGAAGAAAGAAACTACGGAAGGAGAGGTCCTGCATTTTGTCCCTTATCAATGCCAGCCCAGTCATACAATGCAAGTAAATCACGAGTCTCCACATCCATGGGAGCATCCGCAACCAGCTCCGACAATGTACGCTCGTGTCTCTTCATCTGGACAGCTTTGAGCTTTTTCTTCGTGTTCTCGAGAACGCTCTCTTCGACCTGCAAATCTCGGAGACGTATCCTTGCATAGGCGTAGACGCGAGCAATCTGCTCGCGTTGTGCCTCGAGCTCGATTCGTAGGTCGCTGAGCTTTCGGCGCTTTGCGCGATGAACTGCATGCGGCGTAGGTTGGGAGGGTATCGAATTATGTAAGGGTGATGAAGCGTTACGGATATGGGTCGATGCAAGGGTATTCATAGCGCGGCTTCCCCCGTGGAGAGGCCGTCGGGGTATAGAGCCGATGCCTTGATTGCGAGGGGTATAAGATCTCACGTTGGAGGAAACGAGAACGTCTTCGGAGGAGGCAGGAATGCTTCCAGCGCGCAGTCGTGGGAGATAGGATTGCAGAGCTGTCATCAACTCAGCTACGCTTGGTTGCGAGCTGAAGTTGAAAGGATTTGCTGATGGATGGAGAAATGAATATAGGAGATTATGTAGTTCGGGTGGGAGTGTTGGCGGGTTCGTAAGCAGACCTGAAAGAGCATGGAGTAACTTTGGAGGCAATGAAGCAAACGCATTTCTGCTTTGTGCTCCGGTTCCAGCGCCGTCCGGGGCTCGTGGAGTCAGGTGTGAAGGTCGCTTAGGGGGTGGACTGAGAATTCCATTTTGGGTCAGGTCGATCGCATCGTCTGCAGAACACCCAGTCGGGCGGAAGGGTATAGCGGGATCTAATCCTCCAATAAGGCCAGCCTTGCCGAATATCTTTTTCTGAGAGGCGAGATATCCCGTAGATCTTGGTTGGGAAGATCCTTCGGTGATGTACCCAGATGGTAATCTAGGCCAGGGCCGCTTGGGATGAGCTACCCACCACGATCCCTGTCGAGCGGGAGATGTGACAGACACTGGATAAGCATCCAAAGATGCCGTTTTAGCAGCTGTGGATGGGGACACAAGAAGTGCAGTGGTCCCCACATTTTGTGACGAGGGCTCATGAGCGCCCTGCCCAACCTCCCCTACGCTCCCTGCACGAGATCCATCTGCCGATGATGTGGTGTATGAGCCGAAAGCTTCGACGTTTGTGTTAGAGCGCAATGGAGATGGCACAACAGGCTGATAATACGCACCAGATGAAGATGAAGAGGCTGATTTTGGTAGATGCAGGCCAAAAAATGTGCTCGGTGGAGAGGGTGAACAGACAGAGCTAGTTGTCTCACGAGATGGACCCGTTGCGTCGAGGTCGGGAACATCCAGAGGATCTTCCTGTGTTTCTGCCAAGTCACGAGCCAGGAAGTCGTCGAACTCCTCCTCGTTCATTTCATCGTAGCTGTCATCGAAGAGGGCATCGATGTCGTCGTCGTTGGCCATGATGGCCATCAACTTGGGTGATGACGTCTAGACGTTTTGTTGGCTGAGTGGTTGTTGTGAGTCAAAATTGTGAATGATATGCAGGTCTTGAGTGGCGATTGACGGAAGCAGAAGCGTACCACGTGATCTTGCACATGACTTGAGCTTCACGCGTCGCGACAATCTAGCGCCTATGTGTGCTTTCGACATCGACGCGCCCTCGGCGCCCACAACATTATTGCAAGTATGATGGCAGCTCCTGCGACTCCAGCTCCTCTTCATCCACCATCTCCACCATCGCACACACCAGCCGTCGACTTCACCCTTATTGAACGACAGAAGGAGAACATTCAGCCCCTGCGCAATGGTCGCTCAGCCTCAGCGCTCCAAAGCGTATTCTCAGCACCCAGACAAGATCGCGCCGCCGCCTTGCAAGTCGGACGAGAGAAGCACGAGGAGGCCATATCTGCAGTGGAAGGGGCAGAAGCCGCAGACGGTTACGACGACCCCCTCGAACCATATGTACAGTTCGTGAAGTGGACTATCGACAATTATCCAGCCGGGCAGACAGCGGACAGCGGTGTTATCCCTCTGTTGGAGAGAACTGCACGTCGATTTAAGGATGATCCTCGATACAAGAGCGATTTACGATATCTGAAAGTCTGGGTTACCTACGCGGGCTACGTTCACGACGCAAAGGTCATCTATCAACACCTTTTGGCCAACGAGATTGGAACCTGCTATGCCCTCCTTTACGAGGAGTATGCAGGAGTCCTTGAGAAAGCTTCCAGGTGGGTGTGCAATTTTGTTACTTCATCAGATTGCTGAATCGTAAACTAGTCGCGACAAGGCACACGAAATATTCCAGCTGGGAATCGCCAGAAAGGCACAACCTCTCAATCGCTTACCTTCTCGCTTTGCCGAATTCCAGAAACGCATGCTTCTTGCACCCGCTGATCCAGTCCCAGTCGCTGTCGACCCTACGACGACCAATGGAGCCTCTGCTGGGCGTCGCCAGGTCCTCGCTCCTCGTTCGTTAACTGCGGGAGCTCCCTTAGCGTCCAACGGTCCACCAACTAATCAGGGGGTCAAAGGGAACCGCTCTTTGGCTGTGTTCGTCGATGAAGAAAATATGGACCCTTCTCATGAGAGTAATGCATGGCCAGACGTTGGGACCAAGGCAAGCCGTGTCAAGGAGAATACACAAGCATCTGGTCCTTGGAAGGGGGAAAAGCTGAAGATGCGGGGACCAGCGATCGCGGGACACGGTGCCACGCCCGCACGAAAGGTGGACGTATATCAGGATGAAGAGGTATGCTTTTTCCCACTGCTGGGCTGCCGTGGTCTAACTCAGCCGCACAGGTTGTTCCGAAGACTCCGTCGCATCCCCCTCCGGAAGACGTTTTCTCCCGTTCCCTGAAGCCAAGCGAGGATCAGCTCCTGCGGCAAGATCCATTCAAGAACTTCTCGCCTACTCCCTCTCCTGCTGCTCGCCCTGCCCTTTTCACTTCCATCTCGCAACCGAAAGCACGTGTCGATTCGCGCCCTACGCAACCAGTGTCCGAGGGATCCCACACCTTTCGCGAAACACGCAACCCGAATAAACCATTCGTTCCGCAGCAGGCAACGCGGAAGCTGGTGCCCGGCGTTTCGAAGTCGGGCAAAGGGGAAGCTATCCGCATTGATCTTCTTCAGATGTACAAGGACGGCGTCGAATGGAGCCTGGATGAAATGCGCGCCCGTAGACGCGGAATGCTCGGCAAGACCTGGGAAGATGAACCTATATCCACCATTTCGGACTCGAAAGATGACATTCTGGAGCCCCTGAAGGATGATCCTGAGTCTGCACCTAAAGAAGCCGAGCGTGAGCGGATGACTATGCGACTGGATGCACCAACCGTCAATACGCGAGCGGCGCTTGATGACGTGTATGGATTGTTCAACACTTCTCCGGCGAAATCCGAGCAGGAAGAGCCTCCCTCGCCTGCCCCCGTAACTCGAACACCTTCTTTGCCATCTCAGCTGCCTCGCCTGAACGAGAACGCCACAGCTCGCAAACCATCTGGTCCATTCTCGGCTGCACGAACCCCCTTAACTGCGTTCAATGCCCTGACTGCTGTTATGGCGACGCCTACCCCCGCTCAAGGCAGTCTTGGCCGCTCAGCGAGTGGTAGGAGTCTTCTGGAGTTACACGCAGAGGAGCCACAGCCTGAGCCTGTGAAGACGCCTCGCAGGCCATTGGATATATTCACAGATGCACCTGCTCCCAATCATCGTTCTGCCGTCAAAAGAACCCCATTCGAAATTTTCGTCGATGAGAATTCAGCAGCCCCCAAGACACCCGCCAGTGCCACTCCCGGTAACACACACATTGTGCCGAAGTCGGATATCAAACCATTCACCATCTTCGTTGACCCGGAAGTGGACGCTTCTGACAATCAGGCACCTCTGAAGTCTGACTCCCCTGCTGCACAAGATGTAAATACAACAACCCAGCCACTTGTCGAAAATGAGCCGGTCATAGGCGGTGCGTCAGAAGGACAGCCTCGCACCCCGCCAACTGTGCCAGGGCAATTGAGACTCGACGATATTGTGGAGAAGCCGAAGATGTTCTCTTTCATCGATGAAGCTGACTCAAAGAATGTTGTGTCACAAGAACCTCACACTCCGAAACCCGCCTTTGTTCCTTTCATCGACTCACCGGAGCAAGTTCCACACTCATCCTCAACAGTCCAATCGAGGTCTACAGCGAAAGCTCCCAATGCCGGGCTGTCCATGCCTCTCCGTCCAGATTTGTCCCAACTTCGCACTGTGGTGGCTGCGCTGGATGTCGAAGAACAAGAGCCACAGACCCCTTGGAGTGAAGAAGACGAAGAACGGTGGGTGGCAGAGCAGGACCGGCAGGCCCGCAGGAACGCGAGATTGGGAAATTTCAATATCATGACGCCTATCACAGAGCGCACCTGCGAGTTTACACAGATGGGCAGCGTAGTAGGTCAGGATGATGAACCGGATGATGACGACGAGGATAGGAGGAGCCCATCCGTTTCTGGCCAACCCAATACTGCACAATGGTCAGAATACGTGACTGCTGAAGAAAAAGTTGTCGGCGAATTCGAACTCTCAATTGCTGATAAAGAGGCATCCATGCAACAAATACCTGAACAAGTTGTGCAGGTTGCTGCAGCCCCCGAAGATATGGCTGCACAGAAGCTGGGCTTCCCTCCCAACCCGTGCAATCCATTCGACGGTGCAATTCAAACATTACTTTTCTCACGCCTACCACCACTGGATGCTACAGAAGGATTTCACGACCTCCGCAACTCAGAAGCAGACAAGTTGAATGGTCTACAGAAGTATGCTAAGAAGATGGCTCGTAAGAGCGGGAATACTACGACAGTACTTGCTGAAGATCGATACACGATATCACTTGGTAACGACTTATACGACGTGAAAGAGAAGCTCGGGGAAGGCGGATTTGGTTCGGTCTTCCTGGCACAGATAGAGAGGGCAGATATCGAAGACGACGAAGATGCCGACTTGCTGGAAGATGATGAAGACGAGCATTTGGTTGCAGTCAAGGCTGAGCGTCCATGCAACATCTGGGAAGCTGTTGTCCTTCAGCGCATTCTGTCGGCTCTTCCAGAACGACTGCGTGCTTCCGTCATCCGGCCCAAGTCGCTGTACGCATATCATGACGAAAGCTATTTGATCTTGGACTTCTGTCAGCAAGGAACGCTCCTAGACGCGGTTAACCAATCATCCATGGCAAATTCTGGTACATCAAATGTACCCGGGATGGATGAGCTACTGGCCATGTTTTTCTGCATTGAGCTGATGCGCCTTGTCGAGGCACTCCATACAACAGGATTCATTCACGGCGATATGAAGATTGATAACTGTCTAGTCAGGCTTGACGAGGTACCTGGAGGAGCGAGTTCTTGGTCCTCATCTTATAGCCGCAGCGGAAATGGCGGCTGGTCGCACAAGGGTATTCGAATGATAGACTTCGGGAGGTCTATCGACATCTCTGCTTTCCCCGCTGGACAGGAATTTATCGGTGACTGGCCAACCGATGAGCGTGACTGCGTCGAGCTGAGGGAGAACCGTCCATGGACATATCAGATTGATTATTTTGGCCTTGCCAGCATCGTATATTGCATGCTATTTGGCAAGTACATCGAGACCGTAGAGGCCCCGAAGGAAGACGATTCAACGCAGAAACGATACAAGATTGCCAACTCTCTGAAGCGGTACTGGCAATGCGATTTGTGGAATCGCTTGTTTGAGCTACTCTTGAACCCCTGCCTCGTCCATGAAGATGGTATGCTCCCCGTCACAAGAGAATTAGCAGCAATCCGAGAGGACATGGAAACATGGCTCGAGGCTAATAGTGACAAGGCTGGGAAGAGCCTGAAGGGAATGTTGAAGAAGGTGGAATTGGCAGCGCTGGGGAAGAAGCGGAGATATTGATACGAGTCTAGGCGGAATTCTTCATGTGTAGACACATTTGTCAAACCTTACATACCCGCACTTTTTCCATAGTGCATCTTGTTTTACGGAAAGCCTAATTGTCACATGGACAACACATCACTCGTGCGATTGCCATAGAAGCAGTGGTATGGACTGACTAGCTAAGACGCGCAAGACCCGACATACTGCACCATAAGAATAGAGATGTTGCACAAGTGCTCCCAGTTCAGCTCAATGAGGTGGTCCCATGGGCATTTGTGGACCCTGGGCCTCGAACAACGGAGGTCCATTTGGGGGTCCCGGTGGCATCATCATTTGATAAGGCATCCCTTGCGGCACTGTGGCCACGTCAGAATCTCGCCCAGCATGAACTCGCTCTGACATACTTTGCGGGTTAGGAAAATGACCATATGCGTGCGGTGGTAGAGGAGTGGGGGGCATAGAGCCTCGTCCTGCGCCAGCTCCATTTGGTGCACCAGGATAGGGAGAAGGCGCGGGAACGGGAGACTGCATGTATTGGGAACCAGCTGAATGGCGGGGTTTGATTAGCGGACAGCAAACCTTATCATTTAAGACTACTTACGCGGACCCATAGGGCTCATCATAGGATGCGCGTACATGGCGGGTGCTGGGACCCGACGGGTTATTTAACATCATGGTTTTTGGAGAGATCACTCACGGGCACCACCCGGAACACCTGGCATAGGACCATAGATGGCCATGAACTGAGGGGGAGGCATATAGCCATTGGGATGTCCCTGCATTGGCATAGGAGGCTGTCCAGGCTGCGGCTGTGTTGGATCACATTAATGTTGATTTTACAAGGTAGAATGGTTCTCACGGGTCCATAGCCGCCATAACGGTAACCCGCATACATCTGTTGCATGTATGCTGCTTGAGCCATCTGAGCTTGCTGGTTCTCGTCTTCGAATGGCGCCGGCATCTGTTGGGGAGGAGGAGGGGTGGGCTGTGGTGGCAGAAGGGCCGCATATCTCTTCCCAGTGAAGGGCCAAGTTGACGCTAGTATGAGAACATGAGAGGATTATCGCGGGACTAGGTCTAGGACAGCACGTACGAGTACTCGAAGCTTCGGCGACTTTGTTATGTTTGAACGGGCTGAAGTCATCCTTGATGTGCACGCTGCCCTTCTTGAGGGGGTTGGAACCAAAGAAGGGATTGGGTTGGGAGGGCGCCTAGCCTCACTTGAACGGGAGCTACATCTGAAAGGAAAAGAATGACTTACCGGCTCATCCGGAGACTTCTTTGACAGAGGAGGCCGAGCTGGGCTACCACTGGGAGCAGGAGCAGGGGATGGAGATGCGCCCTGCAATAATCTCAGTGGACGGCTACAACAGTCATTTTAATACTTACATTAACCGGCTTGAAAGAAGGCGCAGTAGCATTAGGTCTGAAGCTAGAAGCGTTAATGTTGAGTTTAAAGTCATTGGATGGTGATGTTGATGGTGTCGATCCAGCTGCTGGCGTTGCTTTTCCGGAAGTGGGACCACCGCTGTTTAAGCCGTGCTTCGGAGCAGGGATCGCTTTGCTCTTGCCAGGGTTGAATGGTGGAATCTCGGAGATTGCATACTTGTCTGCCATTTTCACAGGTTTCGAGCTGGCGGAAGTAGTAGCAGAAGCCGACGAGCTCGGAGGAATGGCATTCGCAGCAGGTGACTTGACAGCGTTTGCGGCTTGGGCTATACCGAGGCCACCATAACGTGTCGAGGCAGAGGCGTTCATAGCAGGCGCTGGGCCAATGGTGCGCGCACTAGTGGCCTTGGCATCCTGCTTCGACCTCTCAAGGATTTGCTTCTTCTTGTCCTCGTCCTTCGTGATGATGTTGACCAAGTCTTCTGGGATCTCCTTATTCAACTGTAGAAAATTAGAAAGAGAACCTTTTGGGTTTGGGATCTTTCCTCACCTTGAAGGATGTGCTAAACCGAATGAGATCTGCGATTCTCTTGTCCTTCTCACTCTTGGCTAGATTCTTCCGTTGTGTGGTCAGTCGTTCCTTCTCAGCGGTGACGAAGTTCCGGAAATCTTGGACAAGTGGATTCTCCACAGTCACCTACTCCACCATCAGAGCTATTCATTCGGGTCAATGGTCTAGTCCCGACCTGTGGAACCTTTGCCGCAGCGCTGACATGCTTGTCCCCGGCACTAGCAGACGCAGGTGCTGCAGATGTACCTGGGGTCAGCTTTGTATCGCGTTTCTCAGCTGCAGGCGCAGGTGCTGTCTTCTCCTGCGGAGCAGGTTTCGATGCAGGAGTCACAGCCTCGTGGTCCTCCTCAGGCTTTGACTTCTCGACCGGAGGGCTTGGGGTAGGGACAGTAACTGCTGGAGGAGTAGAGACAGTTGCAGTTGTTGCAGGTGGAGGCGATGATGTCTTCGCGGCTAACGTGGCCGGAGCGGGTTGAGGGCTGAGGGCCTTGGTAGTACCGGATGGTGACCCATTCGCAGCCGCAGCCGCCGCTGCAGCTCGTCTAGCGGCAGGGGGGACATACACATTAGGGTTGCGAGCAACACCGGAATACCTGAGGAGTTCTCGGTGCAAGGACAGCAACAGACATGAAGAGAAACTTACTTGTCTTCTTCGTTGATACCACTATCGTCTGGCTTCAACCCTCTCTCCTCGGCTATGTGAGCATTGCTCGTTGCCCCCTGAAGTGCGATGAAAAAGATTGAATTACAGCAGGGAGCTGAGCTCACGTTTTGGATTTCATCAGCAATCTTCTGCGCGCGCTTCTCACGATTCTTGTAGTCGCTGCCTGACCTATCAAGTGGGGTCGTATATTCATGCTCATCGAAGTTGCTCGCTCGGACGCCAAACAATTTCTCGTTCGCCGCAAACTGATCCCATCCAGCCGCTGACTGAACTCCAAATGTGAGGTCATCACCGGAACCATGGCCATCGTTGAAATTAGGCAGAGGGGGCAAGCCGGCACTGGTATCGTTCGCCCATGCTCCTGGCCCAACGAGATCGCGTTCCTTGAAAGGCGCATTCTTGGATACGTCTCCGTCCGTACGGAAGGCTGATAAATAATGAGAAAGCCATAAAGTGCTGTTACAGCATACATACCGTCTGTAGCGGTCTCTGCGGGGGCACCTAAATCGGGCTTGACAGGGGCGGGCTCAACAACACTCCAAGACATCAATTGGTGGCTCATGACTTGCAGCTTTGCCCGACTGTTGCCATTCGGCTCCCTGGCATCCGTCAACAAGAACTGATTGTCCATCCTGGCTTCTGACAAGGTGCCTTCGAAGCGTTGTCCATTCGTGAGCGAGACAGATATCTTGGCACCCTAATATCACTCTGAGCATCGACGACCGCGCCATATATGCGGTCACCACTCACGATGTTGCTACTCAACCCCGGTATTGCAGACCCGTTTCCGATGCCTATCGAAGAGGGCGGCAAACTCGCTGCTTGTGCAAGATTCGAGAAACTTGGATGGCCGTTCAACCCGGCAGGCGATCCTCGAGGACTGTGCATGCCAGTCGGCGTCATGTTGGGCGAATAAGGCGAATTCATATGAGGACCACCGCGTCCCCAAGCACCACGACTGTAAATAAAACGCATGATGGTCAGTGAGTGGAAGTTCTTGGCTTGGTGGTGGATAGCAAAGGAGCAAGCACTGACCCGCGCGACCCTCCGCCACGGCCCATATCGCCATCCTTGCGTTTGTTCCCACCTCCTCGTGGCGCTGCCATTGTGAAGTACTTGCAGGTGAAGTGCTAAAAGAAAGTGGATAGGATTGGTCAAAAGTGCAATTGCGAGCCAGCCGAGGAGCGTGATGGTGAGAAGAGCGTCAAATTGGGCCCGACCGAGGATATCGGTTGGATGGTGGATGATAGTTGATGTGGCTAGCTCAGGATGAGCTTGCCACTATGCCAGCCTCGGGTAGATGTCGAGGCTGAGAAGGGGGAATGGTGAGAGCAAGGCAGACAAATGTCTTCTTGCTCGAAATGTCGAGGCGGACGGCGAGTGTGCGGTCTTCGCTGTTAGTCCAATGGGCACAACGCTTTGGTCTCCAAGGTAAGGGCGCGGAAGCAAATATCCAATTAATGATAAGTCACTTGGGTCCTTATTCTTAAGCCTTGTTACTTAATTATCATAAGGATCGACTCTAGATATCGTACTATAACTTTTCGTATGGAAATCAGCTCTCCCGATACAGGTCAGGGGAGCAAGTGAAATGCATACTCTTCTCTGCATTGACTGTGGCATGCCGTTCGGACCGTTCTTCGGAAGTAACTGGAGAAGGCGGGAATACATCAACGCCTCGTGTTTTCTAGACGCAAAACCCGTGCAGGCTGCGCAAATGGTGTCGCGTCTTGGTACAGCATATACAGGACAACAGGATTGGCCCGATGGTTTGTCTGTTAGATCTAAGGGGTAGGGCGTTGTTGTGTTTCAGAAACGCTGGTACCGAAGGCATAATATCAGCACAGCTTATCCAAGACACAGCCGAATAGCAGGCGACCGATTTGAGAGTCTTGAAGAAGATTGGGCAAAGGGTCAGAGAGAGGCCGATCAGTGCACATTGACGCGATGACTAGCGTTCAGCAACGAGCGCAACAGTGTGGACGTTCCGGGCGCCATAATCCTCCGGATACGATCGCCAGTCACAAGTGCAGATGGCTCCAGACCCTGGGTGGAGGGGGCATGGTACAAGAGTAAAGAAACAGATGGACATCCGTTAAACACATTGTCCCTGGGGGGAAATAGTTTGTAAAGGGAAATGTTAAGCCGTAATGGTAGATTGATGCATAACGGAGAAATCCCGGCTCCGAGGCGAACAAGATCCACAAGATCAAGATGGTGTGTCTTGGGGGAGGAGCTTTCACGTGAAGAGATCGTGCGGAAGCGTCCTTACGCTACCCTACCGAACGTCAACCCCCTCATATACAGTACCCCCTGGGGACGCCGCAGACGCACACATGTCCTCTCATTAGTCCGTCCTCAGGGGACTCAACGAGATCACAACCTCGACTCAAGTTTGGAATGTCATCGTCACTACGGCCTTCGTGGATGCCCATAAACCTATGGAAGCAGGGCAAATTCATTGTCTTCGGAGGCGCGCTCATTTGGGTCTGTGATGCAATGGGCGCGTTCTCCCAAGCTCTTGCGACTCCCGGATGGACACGGTACGCCTCAGTCCTGCAGTGTCATAGTGCTAGTTTCTGACGAATGCTGATACAGTGCCACGGCACTGCTCGCATCTGCGTTAGGCGGGCTGACAACCCTGCTCCTGTTGTATCTCATTGCCGTGTTGCCTCGAATAAGGGGCACTAATCCTGACGTATGTGGCATCCCTGCATGTGCGTTCGTCAGGCGAGACTCACATTCTCCCGCAGTGGACGCAATGGCGACAATCATCTGATCTTTCTGTAATCATTCCGGTGTGTGTCTCGAATTGCATGGCGTGTCCCCCAACCCTCTGACATTTGATTGTCCCAAGGTCACGACTTTGGCCATTCCATTATGTTGGACGGTCTTGAGCTGGTCGTTGTCCTCGGATTCTGTGTTAGGAGCTATCAGGGGCGTGGCGAGTGGTCAGCCCTCCATCCCTGCAGACATTACCTATGCGCTGACCATCAACCCAGCGACAGGCATGATGATTTTGGGGTTCGGTCTTCTGGGTTTGATCCCCAAACGATAACGGAGAACAGTCGAGGTTGTGACAGTCGAGTGTCTTGACTTGGAATGAATGGACAAGCTCATAATACCCTCTCCGTCTCGCGCTGTAACTATAGGTTGTGCAAAGAGAATATACTTCCATGATGGCACGATTGATTGAGCAATGGGGATCATTATCCTAGGTGTATTTACAGAGAACTCGTCTCTCAGTAAGCTCTCGATGGGGGCAAGGGATCTGACATGTGAAATCAACTAACCGAAGCCGACCCCTTTCCGAAGCCGGCCCGAAAGAGGTGGTGGAGCTTTTTTTGGCAAATACTTCCGGCGCACGGACCAGCACCGAAAGGTTCATAAACCGTGCGCAAGCCTTTAGTGTGTTCCCTATGATTATACTCTTTAGGATCATTTTTATAGTGACCTAACCGAGTCCACACATTCACATGTGCCACACCTTTAACTTCATTCGATGAGACTGTTCACGCCGCCCTTACACCGAGACCTTTGGCTGCAATTTGCAGTTCGATGACGTGCGCTGGTGAGCGGAGCCAGCCGCTTGCGACTCGGTTTTGCGAGCCAGCGGGGCGGGTGTGACATTTCTGATGAAGTCGTCCGGTCTCTGCACTATGGCGATTGTATTTAGCTGTAGACAGTCGTGGCAATTAAACATGTTTGATCACTTCTGCTCGTGTGCAACCCCACTGTTTGCTCGGCCGGTTCTGTTAGATGTCCAAGATGAAGGCATCATGGCTTGTTCCGCCTTTGTCTTTCGCAAAGGCCATGCCAAGTTTTATTTTGCGGATTTGAGAGTTTGACATCGACCATCTCCCGCAACAAGGAGGCCCTAAGCAGAAATTAGTTAGTAGTACTTGTTTTCTTTCCTAACGGAAAATCTCCGGCTCCGAAACAACGAAGTCATCGCGTCATGCTCGAAATTGGTACATGACGCGCACACCGCACCGCGTCTTGGTCTATTCCTCCTACTCACGGTCTTCGTTGTATATTTCGTTGTAGGATGGGTGTGAAAGGCCTTTGGACACTGCTTGGTCCCGTGGGTCGACCAGTCCTGTTACGTCGTTTCGTCCATATCAAGAACAGCACCTAATGCTCTCAACAGCCTCGAAACGCTCGAAGGCAAAGTCCTCGCGATCGATTCGTCGATCTGGATCTACCAGTTCCAGGCCACGATGCGCGATAAGGAGGGCCGAGGTCTTGTAAATGCTCACGTTCTTGGATTCCTTCGTCGGATTTGCAAATTGTTGTACTATGGTGTCAAGCCTGTGTTCGTCTTCGATGGTGGGGCACCGGCGCTGAAGCGGGTCACTATCGTGCGTATACTCTCTGATAGCTACTCGAGTCATGGTTTTGAATTTATGAAAGACTGAGAGGAAGAAGAGGAAGAGAGGAGCTGCAGAGAGTCACGCGAAGTTGGCCGAGCAACTGCTGGCGGCCCAGATGAGGAAGGAGGCTCTTGCCCACGTCGCTGCTTCCACATCGTGCGCAGACTTTTCTCTCTATCATGCGCCGACGCCAATTTGTTTGACAGGAGTGTAAGGCCTGCTGCTTCAGCTGGGAACGCAGGTGTCCTTGATGATGGAACCGTGTACTTGGAGGATTACGACAACCGAGCAGCCCCCCTCCCCTCCGGCACAACAACCGCGCCTGACGAGAGCCGTCAGTCTGACCGTGCTGATAAAGATGCTGAGGCAAGGAAGAAGCGGGAGAAGTACGCAAATATGGACCCATACGCTCTTCCAGACGTGGACCTCGAGGCAACAATGTCAGCCAAAGCGAATGCACAGAAGCCTGATCCGCGGCTGGCAACAGAAGAGGAGATGCGTGCTTTCATCGACGAAATGCGACCGGATGATTTTGATATCACTTCCCCCGCGTTCCGCGAACTACCGACAGAGGTCCAGTACGAGATTATCGGAGATCTACGCCTTCGCTCAAGACAAACGAGTTATAAAAGGCTGGAGAGCATGCTGCGTAATTCTCGAACATCACTCGATTTCTCTCGAGCTCAGATCCAAAACTTGAAGGAACGCAATAGCCTCACCCAACAGCTCTTGTTGACTGCCGAGGGTGTAGGCAAGGTCATCGATCATCATCTAACAATTCCGGTGCGGGTTGCCAGTGAGCGAAACCGGGAATATGTCTTGGTGAAGAACCAAGGTGCGGAAGGCGGTTGGGTACTTGGAACACGAGAAACCGGCACTAAGGATGCCCCCATCGTCGTTGAGGACAATCCTGTGAAATTGGAGGATGACGAAATCGACCTCCAGCGGGCGAGCGCGCTCTACGATCCCGATCATCGGGAATACATGAGGTCCCAAGCGTTATCAGCTCTCGCTGAGCGATACACCCCCAAGAAGCCGGAGAGAAGTACTACACAGACGTCCAGCATCATCCCATCCTTTGGACCCGCGCCGTTACCCGGCAGTGAGCCATTGTTCGAAACGAACGAAGTCACCCAGGTCGAAGATGAAGAAGACGAATGGGTCGAAGATGAAGACCTAGCCATGGCACTCGAAATGTCTATGCAGCCTGGCACCGCTTCTCAATATCCAGACAATTCCCACGTAGTTGACAATGAAGAGGATGAGGAACAGGAAGATGACATGGAGTTGGTTCTCACAGATCTGCCCACAACTGCGCCTGAGCTGTTGCAATCTGATACTCTCGACCGTCCGGACTTCGAATCTCTGTCTCTCTCGCCGTCGCCGTCGCCGGAGCGAGCATTTGTTCACCAAACCCCTGCTGAAAAGGCGGGCTCCAAAATACAACATGCTACTGCCTTTGTACATGACACGTTCAAGTCGCATCCATTGATATCCAAGCATTCCCCCACGCGTGTATCACCATTCATATCCCAATCGCCCACGAGGCCCCCCATTTCACCACATGCATCAGAATCGCGCCCAGTTGTATCACCAGCTAATAGCAAGCCGTCCACGCCTATACGACCTACGTCAAGTTTAGCCCGGCAATCCCCTATATTTGCGTCTCCATCGGAATCCAGACCTTCCCTGAGACAGCGAAGCTCGAGCTCTCCGTTTGAAGACTCGGTTTCCGGAACTCCGATCTTCCGCCCTCGGTCGCGGCCCACGCTTTACGAACCTATCCCGGTGGGTGCGCTTCCGACGAGCGGCGCGTCTCGCACACCACTCAGCCAAACGTTGAACAGCGAACAATCGCCGCTCAAACCGGTTGTGATGTCGCCTACCCTCCTTGATAAAGGGAAGGGACCCGAATTACAACGGAAATCTTCTCGAGAGATTCAGTCACCTCTTAGCCGAGTGGTTCATTTTCCGGATGCAGAACACATATTTTCCCCATCAACAGAGCTGGCACGTCAACCATCATTTTCTCAGGAAGCTCCACGGCTTCAGTCATCATCCAGGCCATCACAGTTATCCATGCACTTTGAGCGGGAAGAGCTTGCTAGACACGCCTCCCCATCTCCTATCCCGAACCGCTCCGATTCGGTACGGCCGTCGACTGTTGAGTCTCTCCCAAGTTCATCGAAGGCTGCAGTACCTTCGAGTGGACAGGTGCTTGAACCTGTTGTCCCAAATAGATTAGCAGCAGGTGCCCCACTCGAGTCAGGGGTTTCTGATGAAGAGGAGGAGGAATTCGCGTGGTCGCGCTCTCCGTCACCTGTCCATGGCGGTGAAGACAGTCAACAGCCGCCTGAGGACTGGGATGCAGCCGAGGAAATGGATCCAGAAGCTGAGGAAAATGAATTCGCCCATTTCATGTCAGAGGTCAAAGGCAAAGACATCGACTCGATGCAGCGGGAGATTGATGAGGAGATAAATACCTTGAATCAACAACGGAGGGCTGCGCTTGTTGCTTCGGAAGACGTGACCTTGCAAATGATTACGCAGATTCAGAACATGCTTCGTCTCTTTGGTATCCCATATACTGTTGCGCCGATGGAGGCTGAGGCCCAATGTGCTGAACTCGTCCAGCTTGGTCTGGTGGAAGGAATCATCACCGACGATTCTGACGTGTTCTTATTCGGCGGTCTTCGTGTCTTCAAGAACATGTTCAATCAATCCAAGACTGTCGAATGCTTCTTGTTATCGGATCTGGGCCGAGAACTGAGCTTGGATCGTGATAAGCTCATTCGACTGGCCTATCTCCTTGGTAGCGATTATGTCGATGGCTTACCCAAGGTTGGACCTGTTGTTGCCATGGAGTTACTCAGGGAATTTCCTGGGGAGGATGGCCTGCACAAGTTCAAAGAGTGGTGGGTAAAGGTTCAAAGCGGTAAAGACAAGCCCGCAGACAATGCAACACCCTTCCGGCGTAAGTTCAAGAAGCGCTATAAAGATCTCTATCTTCCCGTCGACTGGCCCAATAGTAATGTTGTGCGTAATATCTTCCCTTGCTGTTCGTGATTTTTATGACTGATGTACCATGCAGCGTGATGCATATTCTCATCCCACAGTGGATGAGTCAACCGAACCTTTCAAGTGGGGCTTGCCAGACCTGGATGCGATGCGTGTGTTCCTTCGCGATGAGCTTGGATGGAATGCAAGTAAAGTGGACGAGACGCTGTTGCCTATCATCCGAAAGGTCGGCCAACGTGGCAAGGCTGCTCAAGCAAACAAACAGGGAACTCTGACTTCGTTTTTCGATGTCTCGGTTGGGACTGGTGCATATGAGCCCCGGAAACGACAGGCGTATTCCAGCAAGCGACTGCAAAAGGTTGTTTCCGACTTCAGGAAGGAACAAGCACGAATGGAGGAAGAACGGCAAAGTCTACCTCCAGAGGATCAAGAAAGTCAGCAAAAGAAAAGAAAGGCTAAGAAACCTACAAATGGAGAGGCTCCAGCTCACAAGCGGAAACGCGGTCAGAAGGGACGATCCACTCCTGACCCCTCTGCAGCAGAGCCTGCAGCACAGTCACCACACTCAGTCACACCTGAGGAACGCACGCCTTCGGCGAGCAAGGCGCGACCGAAACCCCGTAAAGTCCCGAAAGGTGATGATGAATATGTACCTGGAACGCAGTAAACATTCAGCTGTATCAATAATAGTCGATATACTCGTTTGGAACATAACAGGAGCTGCTGCGCAAGATCATGTATTGATTACATGGCAACACCCGTTGTCATTGTAGACAACCAGCGACACGAGCTCTTACAACGTTTCAAGGCCTATAGATAAATGAGGCGTATACGAGGGGAGGGTTTACGGAGGTACAGTATGAATGAGACATGATAAGACCCAAGAGATGAAAGTTCCGTCACCAGGCAGATAACTAAGCCGTAGGTCTATTCCGGCAAAAGCCGTCCGGAGTTTCCTCCCATCCTGTCGATCAAAGGCGGTTCGATAACACGCTGCCTGTTCGATGTCTTGTGTTTGTCAGCCTGAGTAGGATAGTGATACATTGAAGTCTCTCGGTGTTGCGCTGCGTGCCATTTGGCTTTGCGGATCTTGAACCGACGCTTTCGGTTCCGTCGACGACGAGACAAAGATGCGCCAGTAGTGAGACCGGCGTCATAAGCATCCGACGTGAAGAAGCGCCGCTCTTGTGTCGATCGATAGCGTTTCGAAGGGTGTATGATGTGTGCTGTCTCGGGATCCTCTGACGGCTCCAACTTTCGATCAGCGGAGTACTCCTGGGGACTGGTAGAATCTGATACGGTGACTTGATTGGATTCAGACATGGTTGGCGCAATTGTCTCGACGGCCTCGGTGTGAAGAATGTGGTACAGTGAGTCGGGATCGTAGTAACTTGCTGCAGGTGATCCTGGGATAAAGACACTGCACTCTCTCTCAAAAGTGCCGTCGGACTCGTAATCACTTTCAGCCAGGAAAGGAGGAAGTGACGCTTCTCTGTCTCTATCGAGCGGAGAAGAAGCTGTAGACGAAAGAACAGGGGTGGAAAGAATGTCCAGATATTCGCCATCCTCTATATCCTCAGGCGAAGGGGTGCGCTGAGGCGGAGTCCGAGGTGTGAGAGGGTGTTCGAGTTCAACCATTGCCGCGGAGATCATCTCGGGCGCCCAGCGGAAGGGCACGCTGTGTGTGTGCACAATGGCCTCGGCGTCGGTAACTGGACCGCGGATGGGTATGATGCGGTGAAAGTTGATGTATTGACGAAGGATCGAATACGTGATCCGAGCATCAACAGCATCATCGATATCCAAGCCAAGCCAAGCGCCGGTGACGTCCAAGACCTCTTCAATATGACTTGCGCACCAATAATGCGGGGGATAATAATTCGCGTGTCCGACCGTTCCATCGGCAGTATAGGAAAGAAAGAAAAGTTGTCCAGGGAGAACGCATTGCAAGAGCGAGATGATATTGACAAACGGTTTGGGGGCGTTCCAGATGCACGGCAGTGTAAGGTCCTCGGCATCGTATACAACGCTGCATTTAGCGAACATAGCGGCGAACTGCGACTCGAACTCTTTCGAGAAGAACATATCGGCGGTGCGCGGCAGGTTCATGTACATGGTCGACCAGGACGTGCCTTCTGAGCGCTGGACGCAAACCTCGCTCTTGTCGTGTAATGAGAAATGCTTCATATGCCAGTGCTCGTCACTCTCCAGCAAACTACACCATTCAACCAAATAGGGAAGGGCGCACTCATATGCGTCTCGAACGTGCTCGACGTGAACGGGATCGTTGGCGAACGGACAGACACGATACTCCAGGGTTCCATGATGACGAAGAAAAACGAGATCATCCGACATCGTGCTACCGGGAATAAGCGCCCTTAGATTTCGATAAGAATCAACGTAGAATATGGAATGGTGGTCGGAAGAGAGGGTATGAAGAGAGGGTAGGAGAGATGTTCGGGGAGGGACTTCAAAGTTGTTAGTGTTGTACAGACATGGGGAAATCCCATGAGACAACCAAGATCAACGAAAATATGCACTGGACGCCCGAGGAGAATAGAAAGTGCAACAGATGATGTTGTAGGGTGGGTGTGAAGGTGGGCACTCACAGCCTTGTTTCTAGCAAGCAGTGGAGATATAAGCCTAGACACCGTGCGGAAAACAATCTTGTTGGGTAGGATATTCCGCACAGCCGTGCAGGAAGACAGACGGAGATCCGGGGAGGTGCGCGCTCGAGATGGCGATCAAGAAAGAGAAATGGCTAACCAAGGGAATCCCGAGGGAAAGTAGGCGATAAAGGTCGTGCCTTCCTCACTTACACAGCGCCAAAATGCTATTTTTATATTCGCAAATTTCTGAGTGCGGTTTATGGCGAAAAGGGCAATCAATGCGCACCACTTCTGGGGCGTCTGTTTCCCGGCCCATCAACAATTGTTCTAGTCATCACGATGACCTGGGCCTTATGTCTCTATATCTCCCACTGCGATCTGCGGGAGAAAGAAACATACTGTCAAGAACATCGTCAAACGTCGCCCTGACCAAAGCGCGCAGTGCGCCTCGCGCCTTGGCCCGGGATCCATACATAGGCGCCCAGTTTTTCTTGATCGACGTGACAGTGACAGCATCCCATAGGCTCTACAGCCAATGACCAGATCATCAGCAGCAGAAGCCCTGCTTTATGGCCCAGGTCCACATTGAGGGAAGTCCATCCTTTCTGCCCTTTTCAAGACGTTGATGTTTGAGCCACTGGTCACGTGCCGTACAGGAAGATATCGCCCCTTGGGTGCCAGCGAGCTATCCGGCTAATATGCTTGCGATCCTTGTGCCATCTCATTGTGATTGTCAACTCATAAACAAAAGGAAGCTGGCGCACGCCGACTACGTGAGGCGACGGGCATGTCCGAGCCGCTGGCAGGTGAATGGCCTTTGTACAAATGGGGGCACTGTTTGGCCTGAGTTTCTTCCCCCCGCATGTTGAACCGCCACAAGATGCGAAAATGGAGTCTGCGCTGCGTCGGGTGGAGGGAAGAGAGGCGGGAACCGAAGCTGTGGAACAGTTTGAGCTTGCGGGGTAAATGGAGAAGGTGCAAAATGTGAGGCCAACAAGTGATTGATATCGGCTATGCGCGGGGCCTGATTGGGACGACGCTATGGTTATTGGATAGCCTGAGTTTCGCTCTCGGTGATAACACCTCGTATATCCACAGCTTTAGAGCAGAAGAGCAAGGGATGATTATGATGATCCTTCAGATGTAAACTTGTGTCAAGAGGAGCAGGGTTCGTAGCAGGACATGCGGAAGCTGATGACGCAGCGCGTAGCTAGGGCTCGTAACCGCTTATGTCTGGTAGCAACGGGAGGTTTGATCAAGGCGACCTCCCATGCAGATGGTTGGTATAGCAAGGAGACCGACAGTTACGAGTGAAACTGGAAAGGATTATAGTTTGAGGAGGGTCATCGGAACGAGACTGGGTTGCTGGATACTTGGCAAGTCGTGTGCGCTGATCTGTGTCAGGACGCGTTCTGCCAGAATGTTCGGGACGCGTTTTAGCGCGGGGGGTCCGCAGCAACTCGTTCATGATGCGATAGATCCGGGATTTGACAGACACCAAAAGCTTGGTGCTTCTCAATTCATGAAAGAAAGCCCGCTTTTCCGGCGGCTTCCCTCGTATAGCGCTTTATCTGTACACGCGAAAAGAAGTGAGTAAAAAGCATGAGGGACAAGAACGTCATTCTCAGACGATAAATCGCCTCCAAGCTGCATGTGGCATGGTGCGGGGTTGTTATTATTTGTTGTTTCCTTGTGCACATGCATGGTCTTGGATCTTCCAAGCGTCATTTGCGAGCTGTGCAAACTTTAAGGGTGGGTTTGCAGGATGAGGGTCGGGCCGATGCTGATGAGAGGGTACAAACGACTGCTGCCGATGTCAACATGAAAGTAAATATGCCCCCAGACGATGAGTACATTAAAAGGGAGGAATTGTGTACTCATGGGGTGTATCGTGAAATGTAGTATTTGGTGATGAGTCCCAATAGGTGAGACTGGTATGAAAGATTGAGGGTCACATCTGGTGTGGCGCCGTCGCGAGTGTTGGCTCTTCACGCTCGAGGGTCATCACGTTTTTCCCATCGCAACCCGCACAATCGTTTACAGTCGTTCACTTGCCACTTCACTCCTTTGCTCCTTCCCTTCCCTTTCTCCTCCTCATATCAAAGCACGAGCAAAGCAGCGCCTCTGAATCGCCTCTTGTTCTCCTTCTGAGTATCAAGCACATTAATCTTCTCTCGTTCATTCCCCCAACCCTTCGATAGGCACTGTCAATCTATTACCACCACCAGCAGCCAGCAACGTCAATAGAATGAAGGTCACCACAAAGCTCCTCCTCCTCCTCTCCCTCCCTCTCCTCACAGCAGCACAATTAAACGGCCTCACCAATCCACGGATCACAAAACGCGCAGCCCTTCCTGATCCTGTCGATCATGCCTACCGGTATCGACGACTATTGGGCTTACCACCAGACAACCCCCTCGATCCAACAGGAACAACGACCAACACTGATACCACCCCCACAACTTCCACTGGATCTACGTCCACCACAAGCACCTCATCATCCTCTTCCTCCTCATCGAGCACCTCCACATCGTCGTCTTCCACCAGCTCATCGAGCACCCCCACCTCCTCTCCCACACCCACCCCACCAACGACGATCCAGCCGGGGCCGGGAGTCACGTCGTTCACAAACAGCGCAGGTATCTTGGCAGTCCAAACTGTTACGTCTGTCGTGTTCCTCGCACCTTCAACCAGCCCGAGCGCGACTGCTGGCAACTCAACAGCAGGAACTACCGGGGGCACCAGTGGAGACAATACCATCTCGCAGTCGACTATTATTGGCCTATCCGTAGCAGGAGGCATTGCCGTAATTGGCATCATCGCGTTTGTCATCTGGAAGTTCACGAGGAAGCGCTTTGCTGGACTGGATGATTTCGAGGGTATGTCTTATTTTTGTCCCCTCTTTTCACCGCTAACCCTCGATACAGACGCGATCAAGTGGCCGGAATACAAGCACGGCGACGATGATATGACCATGGGTCCGCTTCCAACGCGTGCAACAGGCGGTGCAGGCGTGGAAACGTCTTCGTATGCGCATTCTGAAGTGGACTTTGATGCACATTCCGTCACAGGTGGGAGCACAACCGACCTTGTCGCTCCTGTCAGTTTCGCATCCATGCCTTATTCTCAGCCTATGCCTGCACAACCGTACTACGACGACGGATACGGCCACGGTGCTCAGCCAGGCCAATATTACAACCAAACAAGCATGGGCTACGCTCCTGGGCGGACGACCAGCCCAGGACCTCAACTTTCCCTTGCTGTTGGCGGTGATGGCACACAGGACATGTACCGCTCGCCGACACGCGGTATGGGGGCTGGACCGGCGGGAATGATGTCTGCCCCGCAAAGGGGCGCGTCGATAAACACTGCGGAAGATGCTGGCAGCGTATACGCTACGGCCCGCAGCCGGAGCCCAGGACCCAACATGGGGCTCAGTGGGGAAATGGGCGAGCGAGGACCGGGTGGTCTAGGGTTCGGGAACACGCGATGAACACTAGGGAGACTCTCGCTGGCTCGAGAATGGACATTATGGTGACGAGTCGATACATTTGGGGAGAAGAGGACGTTGTGTATGCGTATGTGGTTACGTTTATTGCTCTAGTCTGGGCGCTGTGCCCCAGCACACACTCACTTGGCCGTATTGTTGTTGTCCCTGCGGGGTGCCTGCGCCTCGCGCTGTTTGGTAGATGCTTTCCTCAATGCCTTCTCTTCCCCCTCACCTGCCGCATGTTTACCTGCGTACCGCGATCCCACAGCATCCCCAAATTCCCCGCATACCAATTTACCTCGGCTTCATTGCATTCCTGACATCTTCACCACTGCTTTTTGCATTTTCGAACTGATTCTTGTCCTTTTTAAAAACATTTCGCTGCTTGTCGTTATAATGATACGAATTATCATACCGCAATCTATGCTTTGTGCAGTTGCAGCTCACCATATAATTGATCCCGTGCACCAGCACTTCGTTTCAGTGACAACGCACCAACTGCACGCGCTAAACTCCATACGTCTGCCTTTGCAGCATACAATAAATATGGCCTCCGAGCTTCCGTCCACGATGACGGAAGACGAGCTCGACAAGCTTCTCAAGCAAGAAGAGTCCGCCTTCTCTAAGGAGCTTGAGGTGCGTCTCTACTTAACACATGGCTTTTGCCGTTGGCTGACTTATCACAGGTAGAGCGCATCTTGAAAGCGTTCAAGCTCAAGTGAGTATATGCACTATTGTGGTGAGGTGTTGCTGATCTCTGCACAGTCCGTATGATATCCTTGATATAGACTATACTGCCACCGCTGGGGATATCAAGAAACGCTACCGCCAGTTATCTCTCTGTACGTACTCCGGTGCATACTCCTGATGCCTCGCTGATGGATCACAGTCATCCACCCGGACAAGACCCCCCATCCGCGTGCGCCAGACGCCTTTGACCTGCTTAAGAAAGCCGAGTCTGACCTGTCCAACGGAGAGAAACGTGAAGAGCTAGACGCGGTGATCAGTGCCGCGCGAGTGCAGGTGCTGAAGCAGCACTCTTTGCCTACTAGTATCACCGATTTCGACGATGAGAGGATCAAGGAGAAGGGACTCAAGTTTAGGGACTTGGTCAGGGCGAAGAGTAAGGAGTTGCTTGTTGAGGAGGAGTTGAGAAGGCGGAGGTGCGCTTTTCGATTTGTGGTAAAGCGGTGGCTGATAGAGGGGTAGAGCGGTCAAGATGAACCTCGCTAATGAGGGACTGGAGGCTAAGAAGAAAGAGGAAGAGATCGCGACGAAGAAGCGCAAGGCAGATGATGATGTTAAGTGGGAACGTGAGTGTTATCCTCCTGCTCGCTGGGTGCTGCCTACTGACCTCTTGGTGCAGAGAACAGAGAACACCGGGTGGACAGTTGGCGTGCTTTCCAGCAGGGACCGAAGAAGAAAAAGAAGAAGACGAATGTGCTTGGTTGAATGGTGAACCTCCGCAGCAGGCAACTGTATGCTCTGGATTCCTTGCAGATCGTCTTGCCATTTTCTACGGATATTGTACCCTAGAGCTGTCGCAATGTATCTTTATGTGCAATTATGAGATGCTATCTTGATTGCCTCTCCAGTAGAATGCGCACGCATGCACGGGAAGTATTATTTAATGAATGGCATTAATCAATCTATCTAGACGGTCCAAGAGAATGTTCCTTCCGAAAGGACATCCAAGTTACAGAGTAGATTGTACACACCTGAGTTTCCTACACCCTTCCATACATGCGTACGTCTAGACAACCTATTCCTGTCTGACGGTCTCCGCCAGCCTCCTGAGGGCCTCGTCCGCGTCATCTTCACTTAGCAAGCTGAACGCTGCCCGTACGTAGGGGGTCGGCTGTGCCTTGGGGAAGAACGACGTGCCCGGGAGAGCCAATACGCCGTTCCTGAACGCCTTCTCCGCGATCAGGACGTTGCTATCGCCTTCAGGCGCGTTATGCACCGGTGGCAGCTTGAGCTTGAACCAGAAGAACATGCCCGCATTGGGGTAGGCCCATGTCGCCAGCCCCGAAAGGTGCTTCTGCATCGCTCGCTCGAACACGGCCGCCTTGGCACCATAGAACTGCGACACGCGCTCGGTATGCTTGAGGAAACCATCTAGGCCGATATACTTCAGGTAGGCGTAGGTGATCGCCTGGGTCGTCGAACTTGGTTGGAGGTTGGCAGTCGATGTGTGCAGGTCGAATGCGTCCAGCAGCACTTTTGGCCCGCTCGCCCACCCAATCCGGAGACCGGAGGAGAGGATCTTGCTCAGACTGTCGAACCGGATCACGTGGCCTGTACCTTGCCCGTCTTGCTTTTCCATTGCGAAGTAGGACGTCGGACGCGTGGCAGTACCGAAGTAGAGGTAGAAGTATGGATCATCCTCCATGATGAGAAAGTGGTATTTGCGCGCAAGCGCGAGTACTTCGCGTCGCCGCGAGTCCGGTGCGGTGGCACCAGTGGGATTACACCCGTACGGGACGGTGTAGAGGACCTTTGGGTAGGGCTTGCCTGCCGGCCAGGACTCCAGGATTTCGCGCAGGGATGAAGATGAGATCCCCTCGTAGTCCGTGGGAACCTCCACGATGTTGCACTTGATGCTATCGATCATGGGGATCACCCCTGCATAGACTGGGGCCTCGATCAGGCAACTGTCTTCCGGGTTAAGGAGAGCGAGGAAGGCCTGGGGTTTTATAAGCAGATTTCGGGAGATATCATGAACGGAATCCTTACCTTATACAGCAGATCCTGGCTGCCGCTACCCACACTTACCCTCCAACCCTCATCCTTTCCCCTTCCATGCACTTCCTGCTGGAGCTCCTCAAACCATGCTGCGAGCCTAGGCATACCAGCCGTAGCACCATACTGGAGTGCTTCGGCCATATCATTCCCCTCGACCTTAAGATCCACGTTCTTGCTCGTGTCCCAGGGGTCCTGCACGTTCACGCTGATACTGTTGATAGGGAATGCCTCGGGGTTGGGTTTCCCTGCGAGCATAGAGAGCAGGCCAGGAGTGAGCTCCAGTGGGAAGAGACCGCGAACTGAGGAGTTAAAAGAAAGATCAGATCACACAACATGCACGCAAAGATATCGACGCACTGGCACTGGGCATGCGCGACTTGCTGAGTTCACTGATGAACCCGCGATAGTATTCGTCACTCATTGGACCAGGATCGGTTGTTACAACCTTAGCTGCGACGCCGTTCTCGTTGGATGACGATGGGTCATTGGTTTCGGTCGCTACAGGAGCCATCGTCTAGTCTGTAAAGAAGAGAGAAAGAGTGATGTGGCGGGTGATAAAGAAGCAGGAATGATGAGGGGGTCGAATCATGCTTTATACTTGGACGTGAGTGTAACAAAAAGGCCGAAACGGACCGAATCCCTGTTCCGTCCGACTCCAGGTGAGCCCAAAGAAGCAATCGTCTGCCTAACAAGCCTGCCGCCGATCCGGGGTAATGTCCACAAACCATAATCATCCGGTCCGCGAATCGGAAGCGACAACAGAGAACACAGCCACAATATCACAAAGAAGCGGCCATCGACGTGCCTGCCCGACCATAGCGCACCCCTGGAGTTCGTTCGATTGTTTGACACTTAGGAGTCGCACGACGACAACTTGCTTTTGAACAACCTAGACTATTGATTGCAAAGAATGGTGAGAGCATTGCCATTGGCGCTGTTAGAGGCGGCATTGGTGCTGCTTGTAGAGGGAAGAGGGAACGCGTCAACACCAGTGAGGAATCCGTATACCGGGAGATGGACAGGAGACTATCCTAGTAACGTAAGTACTCAACATCTCGCATCAGACAGAACTCTCCCCTGACATTGTTGCAGGATGTGAACGCACTATCCGATTTTGGTGAGATCGTAGTGAAGCAGATGAGTATGCGGTATTCATCGGTTTCCATAGCGCCCACAGACAAGTGCCCTCCTTGCTTCAACTGCCAACTGCCTGCCTTCTCTTGCGGCCAGGTATGCATCATACCATTGGTTTCGTCCTTTGTTCTTATGCTTTCCAGTATGGCGAGTGCAGCGACTACGATGGACAATGCAAGTGCCCTCCAGGATGGGGCGGCATAGACTGCTTGACGCCGCGTAAGCCCCTTTTCGCCCCTCTCCCCCATACCTTCCCTCATTTCTCTTGTTTAGTATGCGACTCACTCGCAGACGGAGCCGAGCGGCATCTGCGCCCTCCCGGCGAGCAATGCCAGTGCAAGGAAGGTTGGAGCGGAATAAACTGCAATGGTGAGCGACTACTCGTCCAAGGTCGCCCCATGGCCGGACTAATGTCGGCTATAGTGTGCATGAACGACAATGCCTGTGACGGCTTCCCTCTTGCGATCAGGGTGCCACCTGAAATAGAAGATCCCGGAGAGGGGATCGCCAACATGACATGCTACACGGGAGGCTTGACCGTCTGGGAGAATCACCAGATGTGCGATGTGACGAGTGAGTGGTCTGGCTTCCTCTTGTCTGGTCCCTGACAGGAATTCGCAGATCGAAAGATTCTTGACCAACTGGGTGAACGAAAGCCACAGGCGACGTTCACCTGTGCTAAGAAAGACACCTCCTGTGCGTTCCAGTTCTGGGTCGATCAGGAAGAGTCTTTCTATTGCGCACTCGACACGTGCAAAAGCACCCTCACTCCTGGGTATGAGAACGGTACTGATCAACTGCTTTATGACTGTGATCACGTCAAATGCAAGTGTGTGCCTGGGAAGATGTTATGTGGCGAAGAAGGAAGCATCGGTGAAATTCCTTTATTGGCTGCCCGCATATATGCGTGCTAAGATTTGCCCTGTAGATCTTTCCGAATTCCTCACAGAGGCTATCAAAGGTCCTGCTACATTCAAATGTACTGGCAACAAGTGCTCTTTCGAAGAACCCGCCATGAACGAGTTAATTGAGGAAGTCTTTGGCGACAAGAGCATCACACTTGCCTGTTACGGTGGAGAGTGCATCCATTACACCATGGTGCCCGGGTACGAGCGTCCTGAGCAGCCGGACAACAGTGTTTGGGTCGCTTTGAGTGCAGCAGCTGCGGGAGTTGTATTCGTTTTGGCTAGTATCCGTTAAGTGCACTGGCCTGTGTCATGTAACTGTGTACTGAGCACCGCACAGTGTTCTGGTACCTCGGCCGGACCAGCAGCGAAGGGCAGGGTGCGGTACGCTTACCGGCTGACGAGGCTTCAAAGCTCATGTCGGAGCATGTCCCGGCATCGGTGCACTTCTCCAACCTATCATACACGGTCAATGGCAAGCAAATTCTGGAGAACATCACGGGCTCCGTCCGTCCAGGAACAGTCATGGCCATCATGGGCGCTTCCGGTGCCGGCAAGTCCACGTTACTCGATATCCTCGCCCGCAAGCAAAAGCGTGGTAGCATTGGAGGAACAACGCTTGTGAATGGCAAAGAGGTCTCGAACGCCGCGTTCCGCAAGGTGATGGGTTTCGTGGATCAGGAAGACTGCCTTATGCCCACGCTCACCGTATACGAAACGATCTTATACTCTGCGCTTTTACGGCTACCTCGGGATATGAGCCTTTCGGCCAAGAAGTACCGCACACTGGAGACGATGCAGGAGCTAGGCATTCTCGGTATCAAAGATTCCCGCATTGGCGAGTCGGGCAAACGGTCCATCTCTGGTGGCGAGAAACGCCGTGTCAGCATCGCCTGTGAGCTCGTTACCTCCCCAAGCATCCTCTTCCTGGACGAACCCACGAGCGGTCTCGATGCTTTCAACGCGTTCAACGTCATTGAGAGTCTGGTCACCCTGGCAAAGGACTATAACCGTACCGTTATCTTTACCATCCATCAGCCGAGGAGCAACATCGTCGCACTGTTTGATCAGCTCGTCTTGCTTGCCAAAGGAAGGATGGTTTACTCTGGTGAGCTCACCAAGTGCCAGGACTACTTCGAGAGGATTGGGAGCCCCTGCCCCCCGGGATTTAACATTGCGGATTATCTAAGTAAGTCGCTGTCCAGCAGCTAAAATGCATGGACTGACAACACACGCAGTCGATTTGACAATGCGCGCAAGCGGGGATTCCGTCCGCACGCATCCGGATTCCTCCCCTCTTCTGGAGGCAAGCGATGACCCCAACCCCAACCTTGATGAAGAGCAAGGGTTTGCAAACCATACCGTCAACGCTCCGGGGCAATCTAGCTCCTCGTCCACTGCTGCTGCGGAAGACGCCGAGCGTCAGGTGCCCTCGCAGCCCGAAGAGAGCGCTGGGGCAGGTGCAGGCGCATACATTCGGCACAAGACATCCCAGCTGCTGTCGGTCATTACGGCCACTTCTGTTACTCTTGCACCTCAGACACTCTCGCCCGAGCTGCAAGCGCTTGTGGATGCCTACGCGAGCAGCGACATTGCCGCTGAAACCAAGGCAGAGATAGCAGCATTTAGCCCTCATGTGCAGAACGGTGTGAATGGCGACTCAGACTCGAGCAACCCGGACTCAGCACCTGGACAACAAGACATCAAGTCTCATCGCAGAGCCAGTTGGCCGACGCAGTTCCGCATTCTCAGCGGGCGTGCTTTCAAGAACCTGTATCGTAACCCTTGGCTGCTTACAACTCATTACGTTTCAGCTATTGTCATTGCTTGTATGTTTGTTCTACTGCACCGAGGGCCTGGTTGTACTGACTGTCCGTAGTCGCCTGTGGTTTCTTCTTTTACCAAGTGCCGAACGACATTCCCGGTTTCCAGAACCGTCTGGGCTTGTTCTTCTTCGCCCTGGCGTTATTCGGCTTCTCGTGCCTGTCCAGTCTTGGCTTATTCGCTAACGAACGTCTCCTGTTCATGCGGGAGCGAGCAAACGGCTACTACACGTCCTTCACGTATTTTGCCTCCAAAGTCCTGTTCGACGTGCTCCCGCTGCGCGTTGTCCCTCCGATGGTATTTGGTGGAATCGTTTACGGCCTTGTCGGCCTCGTGCCTGAGGTGTCCAGTTTCTGGAAGTTCATGCTGGCCCTTGTATTTTTCAACCTCACAACAGCAAGCGTGGTCCTGCTGTTGTCGATCGCTATTGCCGACACTAGTGTCGCGAGCTTGTGCGGCACCCTTGTGATGCTTTTCAAGTGAGCATGCGGTCTATGGAAGACAAGGAGTCAAACTGACTATTTTCGTAGCTTGCTTTTCGCGGGTCTGCTCATCAACTTCCAGTCCATGCCCACCGGATTAGCCTGGATTCAGACCGTGTCGTTCTTCCACGCGGCGTACGAGGCGCTACTCGTTAACGAGCTCCAATGGTTACAGCTCAAGCAAAACAAATACGGTATCGAACTTGACATTCCGTCGGCGACGATCCTTTCAGCCTTCGGCTTCAAGGCTAACGTAAGTACCGTTATTTCGGTTCGTTGGGGCAGCTATTGACGATATCTACAGGCGTACTGGTGGCCCGACATTGCAATCCTCGGGATCGAGTTTGGGGTGTTTACAATTCTGAGCTACCTCATTCTCCACTATTTCGTAAAGGAAAGGCGATAGATAGGCACGTACCACTCCCGTCGATCCTTTTCGTTCCTCCACATACACATGTCTTCCTTCATCTCACAATCGCTATTCCTCATTCCACACAACAAACTTACATTCTATTATGGCGCGCATATGTATGGTAGTTATCCAATGTATTCTCATATTTTGCTCTTTGGAGGTAAAGGGATCATCTTTATGGTGATATATATTGCCATAAGGATGATCCCTTTATATAGTAACTAGGTTAACCCAACTTGCTTTGCTCAGCATAGTTATGTGAAAGACCCTATGTATTGCCTCAGAGTCTTTTTTTGGTACATTTGTTGTATCTACATACATTTCAATCATAATAGGAAATTGCAGGAGAAAGAAGAATAGAAAAGCAGGTATCTAAGAAATATTGGAAAGAACTTTTGGATATACAACATTTTGAGTGACTCTATGCATCTCTACAGTTGGTGCTTGAGGCAGTAAGAGTATTCTAATTGCAGAAGGCAATGTACAACATGAAAGTGCAACATATAATTGGCCATGTGAGAAAACAGGAATGCATAAGTCCAAACCAACATTTGTGACTGACTGTCCTTGAGCCTTGTTGATTGTCATTGCAAATGCAAGTCAAATGGGAAACTGGCAGCACTTCAGGACAAAGCCAAGATTGTCCTCAGATGGTGTGAGTGAGATGCATGGAATGAATGCTGTTGTACCATGATGTTCACCTCCAAGGAGTCAGACTTCTAAAACTTGATTTGTTGAATGAATGAGTTGACATTGTGTCCCATTACAAAGGCCTTGTGCTGGTGCAAGATTCTGCAGTAGCATAAGTGGACACCCAGGCTTGATTTCCAACTTGCTGAGGGGAAGTCCAGGCACTTTAAGTGCATTAAGATACTCAGTTGGAATTTCCATCTGTGCATTGATGCCTGGCTCCTGAACAACTGAATCTGCTAAGAGGAAGGTGATGACTTCTCCAGGATGGTGTGCAAGTACTTCTGCATTGAGATCATTGACATCTGTGTTGCATGCAGCAAGAATCATTTGATTGAGGAAGTAGTCATCTCCATTTGGTCCTCCAAGCTCATGGTTCTTGATGTCTTGATATAGTGATGTGATCAGGCTGTCCACTGAAGTCTTGCATTCGATTCCATCCCAGAGGTTGAGCATTCCATTGGCACGGGAGGCATGTCCACTTCCTACTTCAAGAAGCCTGCTTGCAAATGCAGCACTTGTTGGATCCTGAGCACTGAGGCACATGTTCTGAGAAAGGCAAAGGATCTTGATGCTCTGCCACAGATGAGAGTGTTGCATACAGGCCCCTACAATGTCTTCCTGCTCCCCATGTAGCACCACAGGTAGTGTCTGTTGCCAGTCACCACCAAACACCACTGACATACCACCAAATGGAAGGGTTGGCTGATCTTGGATGTCACATAGACTTCGATCCACAGCCTCTATGCAGTGGCAATGCTGTGCTGTGGCTTCATCCCAGATTGTGAGTGTTGCCCCCTTCAGCATCACTGCCAATAGCCCATTCTTTGGTATGTTACATGTTGAGGTATCATGCACTGGGATTGGTATCTTGAAGGTTGAGTGTGCCATGTGGCCACCTGGGAGGAGCAAAGCTGCAATACCTGAGGAGGCTACACAGAGAACAATCTTTCCCTGTGAGCACAGCTCTGCACAGAGTGCCTTGTAGACAAATGTCTTCCCTGTCCCCCCAGGGCCTTGAAGCCAGAAGGTCTGTCCATCACCTGCATGTTGGGTGATCTCTCAAAAGTGGCA